AACGATAATAATTAAATTTTTTTTTATAACACGGTTGGTTCCTCGTGACGTTCTCGCAATTGTATTTAATTACACATATTTTTCTCTTGATAATTGTATACCAATATTATTGCATATCATTTCATTATGTTTAACACGAATTTCGTGCTAAATCCGATTTTAAATGACGTTTGGGGATATTCTAAACGGTAATGGAAAATTGTTTTTTAATTTTTTTTACATGTTGTCGAACCAACAATTCAGTAGCCGTAAAAACTATACACTTATTGACATCAGTTTAGACCGTTTTAATAATTGATGGGCATTATTAGTGTTTATTATTGCTATTATGTAGTACGTGTAGTTTTTTACTAATCGTGATTTTTTATGTAACCGTCACGTCGGGCCTTTAATAAATTGTCGTCACTTTAAATAAAAACCGTTCCGTCATTAATGCTTGCCAACGTATTTCCGATTTTACATTTTATATTTCTTATTTTATTTTTAAGGGGAAGCGTACAGTTATAACGTGTAAACTGTTAAGTAATATTTCACGTAAACCGATCGTTCACAGCGCATACAAATTACAAATGTAATAGAACTTTATTTTAGCAAACCGCGTCGGTGGCATTCGTTTGTCGAATGAATTGTGTAGGTACTTGATATTCAAAAAAAAACTGCGAAAATATTATAATTTTTAAAAATAGGTTTTCTTAAACGGCTGTTTTTGTTCTGTTCAAAATCTCTTTGTTCTAGGTTAAATTTAATGCGCACTGTTAAAAGTTGTATTATATTTTTTTAATGACGCACTGAATTCTGGAATAACAGTCTTAAAATAATAAGATTGTTTCTCTTGCAGGGGCGTAGCAATATTGCGAATGGAAGGTTACGGGATTATAACTTCCTTGTGTTTTCCGGAAATCAAAAAAAAAAACAATTGGATAAAACACGTCCTAAAACATAATTGTTAATTCAATCTTAAAACCAAAACTGAAAAAAAAATAATCTACTCTGTTTAAATTGCCGGTCAATTAAAACAAAAATCAACTATCAATAGGGAAATGGTAAAAAAGATATGTCCCCAAGCTCGCTCACAATTTTTTAACATCTGTATACTTAGCATAACCAGTTAGTTAATTATTAAAGAGCCTAAGGCATCTAGTATTATTACACTGCTCGTATCAGAAAATATATAAATAGTTGTTCTTTTAACGCTGACAAATTCTTGCAACTCGAAGGTAAAGTTTTTATAAAGAAGCAAATTGTAAGCAAATTCTTTTAATATCGCTCTTACTAGATTTTATGCATTTACATTTATTCAATGTATTTTATCATTGTCTTCTTATATTGATTTTTTCTATTGAATTAATAACAATTAACTATTCGATGCGAAGCGGGTAAGGTATTTTTTGTTTATGTTAAAAGGAAATATAATTAATCTACATTACATTATGTTTTATACCTAATGATTACCGTTAATCGTTTACTTCGTTTGACTTACAATATTCGAATTTAAAAATTTAATCTATGGGTTATAATAAAAACTTAGATCTACTTATTTTATAATGCGAAATGCGAATAATATCAATTAAAGTATGCAATTCTTTTGTTCTTTTTTTTGTGCTATACTAATTATGCAAGTACTAGAAAATTATTTTGTTTCCTGCAATAAATAATGACTCAAGAAGACACGGGTGGTCTACATGTAGCTGTATAAATTGTTAACTAGGAAACAATATTATTTCCTAGTTTATTGGCATTAAGAAATTGAAAACTAAACATAATCTTTTGCTATTAAGTATTAATTCATTCTCATTGATATTGATAATCATTAATCGTCTACAGTATAACAAAGTAGATTTTTAGGACATATTATATAATTTTATAAATTTATTTTGCATTAGTTAATAAATCGTTAAGTAAGAAAAGCTTATTTTATTAACAAAAAACGAGCAATGTTCAACTGTTTTGTGTTAATAAACTTAAAAATAAGTACATAATATGTTTATAATCAATTATTTCATATGTCATTATGGTGGCACGTGTACAAATGTGTAAGGTTTTTGTGTAATCAGTAATGGTGTTATGTAATTTACTAAAATTTTATATTTAAATTAAAGCTGAGGTTTATTTTACTATTCTCGACTTCAATAGTTACTAGTTTTCTACTTCACTAAATTTCTTTATCTGTTTTATTACTGTGCTTGTATCTTACTATTAACAGATTCGTATAGAAGTGTTTAATTGCCGTAGAAAACACTTTTATATTCTTGATATGTATTATATAAGATGTATGTAAATGGTGGTTTTAAATTGCACCCATATAACGAAGACAACTACAGCGTTTAAGATAACTGATCTCAATCAAAATTGATTATTACTATATTAGATTCATGTATATAAAGTTGTAAAGTTGTTCTGTAAAATAAGGAGTTCAAAGGAACACATGTTCATGGAATAAACTCCGTCAAGCAATTTCTAATAAGAAAACAATTTTTAACATTTTTTAATAAACAAATCTATTGAATTTTCTAAACATATGTAAAATAAGTTTATGCACATTTTTAAAAAAACAGCATTATGAGTAGTTTTTTTGCTTGTATGTATTTCTTAGTTTGTTAAATTACTAATTGGTCAATTTATTTATTGTTAACGGAATACGACCGTTTTTTATTTAAAAAAAAAAAACCACCGAATTTAACATAAAAAACATGTCTTGTTGAAACCATTTTTTAAATAGATTAAGCTATAAATATTTGTACGTTCAATATTATCATTATGTATTATAATTTTTCGAGGAATCGAGAAAGGTACAGATGTTTGTTTTGTATTATAAAAAAATGATTGCAAAAAGTATTTATTTTATTTTTTCTGCTGAATTTAGCACTGATCTTATGTAATGTTGCATTTTATATTTTTTTAGACAGTAAACAAATCTATAAAATCCTGATATTTAAGTATTTTAGGTGATTCAATTTTCGGTGGAGGTTTAAAAAACAAATGTATGTGCTACGTTAATTTTAACCAAGTTTTGAATTGAACAAAGAAAATAGATTAGAAAACTTTATTTGAAATACATTTTAAAACATTATTCAAATGTATTATTTAAATATTTATATTAATTATAATTAATATTTTAATATTCAATAGTGATTGATTCGCATTCGTCCTTCTATGTGACTCCTGAATGTTGATGTGTAATTTGCTTAATAATTACTACCTAACCTAGCATGTGCTTATTTAATAGAATGGTAGATATTATTGGTAAATTAAATTTTTTGTTTACTGGCGTCTACTCAATAATATGTAAACAATATTTTTTTTTGCTAAGCACAGTTTCTATTCTATTTAACCTACTTACTATATTTTTTAACGCAACATATAACCTATTTCATTGAATGTAAAAAGGAAGTTTAAACACAGTCGAACACAGGCTCGTCTAAAATATTATGAATAATTAGATAACGGTAATTTTGAGATGAAATAGTAATCAGATGATGATCATTTCTCGATCATCAGAAAAGCCGCTGTTAAAATGACATAATACCTGTATAGTTTATTCGCCATTATCTTTGCTTTAGTGTTAGTTTTTATATTATATCTACTTCAAAACGATTTCAATGTTTACAGAACGACTTGGCGATACATAAATCAATACATTTGGTTATGAAATACTAAGCGCCGATTCCGTTTTTTTTTCTGTTTTGTTAGACGATTATATTTACTAAGTAGAAAAAGGAAATTAAACCCCCGTTAAAACGGTACATGCATTTGCCATTGAGTATATATTGTTTTACTTGATGCTTTCTGTAGTATGATATAAACACATTGTGGAATCTAAACTTGTGGCCTGTTGTTGATATGTTTCGGGCACGCTTCCTCGCCGTTTAAACTTTCGTAACTACTTATAAATTATTAAAAAAAAAAAAAATTGGTTATTGTTGTTTTGAGAAGAAAACTAGTATAAAATTATATATTTAATAAAAAGCACGTTGATAATTGTGATTTGTCTCATGCTGATTTCATTACTTTCATTTTTCCCCACTAAAACAAGTTAACGTTTCGCTTCGTAATATGTATTGTTATTATCGCGTTCGATAATTACCTTAAGCCCTTAATTAATTAAGTTGTATGTATTATTTTTAATTGCGTTTTTGCAAACCAATCGTCAAAATTTGTAACCAATTCAGGAAGTTTCAATAGGTTCAAGGTGGCAAAAAAGGGCAAAACATTTACTAATAAAAATATTCATCAATGGTAATCGATTACGGGAAATGATTTCAATTTCGAATCAAAACCGCCGGTCTATTGTAACATTTATTTAATATACGAGTTGTGTTTATATAGGAAATAATAATGTTTGGGAGTACAACAATGTTTAACCTTGTGAGCTGATCCGTCTGTATTGCAGTAGTGCACCTCGACAAGATAGAAGGAACAGCACGTTATATTGATTTGCTCGGCTAAGTCAAGAGGAGATATTATTGACTTACCAGTGTTCTCCTTATAGAAATTCACCGAACGTTCGTCTTTTTTAATTACCTAAGCATAATACGACGACTTTTTCACCTTGTTCTATGCGGCTAGCCTTCATCTAACGTACATGGGATTGAGGTCATTGTCGATCGTTGCATATCAGCTGTTGTTTGGTAAATACAGGAATACATTTCCTGTGCTTTGAAAAGGGTAGAAATTCAATAAATAAATTATCTCTTCAAATATTGTAGTACTGCAATTAGTGGATTTTTTTCTTACTGGATAAGTTCAAATCTGAACAGTGTCAAAGCGTGAGGGTTTGGCTGGGGGTTTACCTCCTCTCCTTGGCCTTTTTCGAGAAGGAAGTGTCTATATTTAGCTTACCGAAAAATCCCAACTCAATCCACTTTTAATTTGCAAAAATCAGAAAAGAAAATATTATATAACTAAAATAAATTGTTTTATCTTTCTAGAAAATGAGAGCTATATAATTTTTTTAATATGGTGCTATACAAATACTGACTAGCATTTTGATTTGTTTACAGACTTAAGTGTGGTAACTCAGGCTCAGATACAGTTCCTCAAGCAGAATGTTATCGAAAGCACTGCGGCCGATCAACTTAAAGACATGATAGCGGCCGCCTACGATCCTATTACAGAAGATATATACGTTAGCGATTCCAATCATAAGAGTGGAAGTATATTCCGGATAAAAACAACTGGAGACGACAAATACGGAATCATTCAACCCGTTGTTACCAGTAAATATCAATAATTCTGTCTTGTATATTTAAATTACTTAATAATTATTATGTATTTTTCAGAACAATCGTCTCCTGTACAAGGAATTGCTTTTGATTATCAAACGTCCACATTGTACTGGACGACCGGTAACGGTCTGAGTATAAAACAATTGACAATACCTAAGGACGACACTCAGTTACCACTAAGTGGTTCAGTCTTATTCAAGTTCAAGGATGAAATTCCACAGGGTATTGCAGTCGACACCTGTAGAGGGTAATTTTATAATTTTATTAAATACTGCTATGCACAATAAGAGGTTTTGTTAATATATTAAATCAACCGTTTGGTATGATTATTTTTCAGGTATTTATATTGGACAAACTGTAACCATCTGAGTGCAAGTATTGAACGTTCACGTTTAAATGGAACAGACCGTAAAATTATTGTCAGTGACCATTTATTCCAACCATTGAGCATAGCAATTGATGTTGAAAATGGTCTTTTGTACTGGAGTGATGAACGAGAAGGTATTTACTACAGTATTGAGAGCAGTGACCAGAACGGTGGTAATAGGAAAACTTTAATTCACGGCACTCACCATCAGCCTTTTGCTGTTGTTTTGGACAATCTAAACATATACTGGAGCGATTGGATTAACAATGCTGTGTGGACTCTGCCCAAGAATTCATTCCAAGGCGGAGTAGAACCTTTATTAGTTAAAAAGTACGAGTCCAGCAATACTCCAATGGGACTGTTAACTCCAACTGGATACTCGACTTATGTTAACAAAACTTATTGCTCAGCATACACAGAAAAGGTATTTATATAGTTTTGATGGTCTTTAAAAATCAATACTTTATTAATTTTAATATTATGTCAACAGCACGTGGTAAACACCACAAAAAATCAAGAATTAAATCCCGAACTAATAACCTATGAAGTACTGAAGAAATTGTGTAAAAACAACGGAATACTGCACGCCAACGGTACATGTACGTGTAGTGTTGGATTTGAAGGCGATAACTGTGAGCTATCCGTGTGTGATGGCTACTGCGTATCTGGAACGTGTTCAATATCCAGTTCCGGACAACCCGAATGTGCATGTTCTCCAACAAGTTATGGAGATCGGTGTGAGAAATACATGTGCACTGGTCAATGCATGAATGGCGGTGAATGCATACTGGATACATCAGATAATCCCCGGTGTGAATGTCCAGTTGGATATGCCGGTGAAACGTGTCAATACAAAGCCGCTTGGCTAAATGAAGTATGTTTGGTTTACTGTCAACATGCTCCTACGCCTTCCACATCACATATTTGCAGGTAATGTTCAACTATTTTCAGTATTTAATAATGCACTGACAATATTTTATTAATCGTTCATATATATATTTTTTTCTAGTTGTAATGATTACAATAGAAAGTATGATTACACTGAAATGGGAATGCTAAACCCATCAAACATATCGTCGTGTAAACTTAGCAAAACCTTGACTGCTGTGATCACCATTCTAGTAGTTTTCGCTGCTAGTTTAGGTACTTTATCCTTGGTGCTATATAGAAAAGTCCGGTTATTAGGTCGTCGACCACGGATCAAGAAGCGTATTGTAGTCAACAAAAGTGTGACTCCGTTGACGTGTAGACCACCGCAACAGAACCAACAGTGTGAGATCACCATCGAAAACTGTTGCAACATGAACATTTGTGAAACTGTAAGCAATATAATAAAGTTTTTGTCAGTGGTGTAGTCTAGGGGTATACACTATACTCTATGATTACATCGCACAATATGGCATGTTATGCAATATTAGGCCACTATTTTTTATATAAATGTTTGTTGAACTTGATTTTAGCCATGTTTTGAATCTGATTTTCGAGTGCCAAAACATAGCTTGATGTCGAGTAAACCTCAAAAAGAAGACAAAGCCAACCTACTGAGTAACACAGATATGTCGAGCGAAGATGAAAAACCATTATATTGAGTTTTTATTTTTTTTGTAATTTATTTTTTTTTTTTACCAACTTGAGGGGCTGTATTATTTTTAGTTGGACAAAATGTGATATTTTATTGTTCCAAGCCATTTTTACCTTTTTATTTGTTAAGGCATATACAGGTTGTAGCTTTTGGTAGAGCGTGGCGATTTGTTTTATATTAAAACTAGATAGATTGAGTTCTAAACATTTTCTTAATCACGCAAGTCATACGTTTGGTCATTCTACTGTTTAATGTTTACTTAATTTATACTTTTTTGATATTATTAAATAAATAATTATATTAATAAATTACGTAAACTATATATATATATAAATATATTTAAACAGTTTGTGTAAACATTGACTTGAGTGATTGAAAATGTAATATAATATGCAACTTATATTTCCAGATTTACAGCCCCTAAAAATAAATATAATTTATCGTTTTTCATTTGATAAAAAATAATCATTTTTTTGTTGTTTTTTTTTTATGAGCTGTTTTAAATACAAGACTGGAATTTTGTATTATAAGTATTTTTCGTTTTTATTGTTAGAACATAGTGAAACTAGTTAATTTCTGTTTTTAAACATATATTTGTTTACTATTTTGTAAATAAAATATTTATCTCATGTAAAAAAAAAATATATGCTTGTTGATTTATTTATTGGAACTGGTGAGACCAATTAGTCTACTATATTATACATACATTTTTATTATATTTGTTAGAAGTTAAAACAATTATAATTGTATCCTAATAAAAATGCTTGTTAACTTTAAAGTTAATGTATCTCTTACTATTTAGGGCTCAAACAGTTTATAGATTTAGCAGTTTGGGACTTTTATAATTGTCTGCTGACCAAACACTATCTGGACAAATCAGTAATCAATTGGTATGAACCAATTAATATTGATCTGAGAACAATTAGCATCAATTGAGTACAATGTTAAAAATAGGTCGGAATAGTTAGCAGCAGTTTTTTTAAATTTTTAATTAGGCGAAGTATTGAAAATGTATTTCATTAAAAATTATCACTAGCAACAATAAAATTTCAAGTACAAAAGTATAACATGGCATTAGAATAGTGTTCTTACTTTAAATGTAATGTAACATAATTTTTAACTACCTATTTTAAATAATAAATATTTAGTAAATTAAAAATGTTTTGTTTATACATTTAAAAATTATTATTAGGTTATGAACACTATTGTGGTTTTTGAATTTATCAAAACTACTATACAAATGTAAAATAATATTTAAAACCCTTAACCAAATTAATTCTTATGGAGGGAAGAAAGGGTCTGTCATAGATTTGTGTGATAGACGGGAAGAGAAGAAATGGTAAAAAAACATACAAAACAAAAATCATAAATTTTTATTTTATTTCACGAATGAAAAAAAAAATTAAAAATAACTAGGTCTGCTAGGAATATTCTGAAGAGCAATTAGGGTTCAGCAAAGAAATCCAAAAAAATTATATATTTTTGTTTAAATTATATTATAAATAATCAGATTGTTTAAAGAACAATTATATTTAAAGCACAAATTTTAATGCTTCATTTATAATTTATGTAAAACAGTTGTAAAATAAGTCGAAGATTTTGTTGTTATGTGATTTATTTAACTTACTTTTTTTAATTATAAATATATAAATGATTTATTACCCAAGTAAAAAAAAGTTATTAGATAACTGGATACAGAATAAAATTGTTTTTCAACTTTTATACATATATACAAAGTATGGCAATCATATTTAAGATATATATTATTCTACTTGCTATTATTGCCATGTTTATACTAGCAAACTATTGTTTAAAACTATAAATAATCTATAAAATATTCACTCTCCAAGAGCTTATAAAAGCACAATAGTTATTTTGTATTTTATGACAGGCTACATCACATTATTTGAATGGTTTAAATATATATTTGTGCCCATAGGATACTTAAATATGTAGGAAAATTAAATCATACAACAATATATTAACAAGGTCTAAAAAGTTAGCACTTATAAGCGTGCTAGAGTCATTTTGAACTCTTACACAAGATCAATCATAAAAAAAAAAAATGAATTGCGTGCTATTTTAAATTGTATTTAAAAACATAAAATCTACACTTAACCATAATCTGATAATTTAAAAAAATATATTATTCCCAATAAACAGAGCAATGCGTACTCTGGGTTTGTAGTATACGAATTTCTTGGTATAGGTGCAACGCTGGACCGAGCAGCAACCCCATTCTTGTGGTAATATCCGATCGTGTAATTAACAGCAGAGCACGTCCGTCGATTTCCTAAATCCATAATTTCAAATATATAGTGTATTCGGGTATTCAGCTAATATTCAGTGTTAAAAGCATATAATAAGAACAAAAATGAAGAAGCGATAATTACATTTTTAATTAATGTCGAGGCAATATCGTCATCAGGCAACAGTTTTGATAAGTATGCACTGACTTTATATTTATCCCATTCAGTTACATCTGGAATGTCCAATCCTTTTTGCGGGAATAACAATTTATTTTCTGCACATTTGCTTTGTACTACAGAGGAACTACGAGGTTTATCATTAAGTATAACATCAACATTATTGTCATTGTCGTTTTCTTCTGACGTAATGGATAAAGAGTATTCTGATCCATCCAAATCTTAAAATGAACATTACATTAACAGTTTTACACTTAACAAATAATGAAATATATTAAAACCTACAACTGAATAACATGGGACCACAAGAAAATTTTGTATCAAGCAGTATTCTAGTTTTTTCAGAAATAGGTTTCGCTACAACATAATATGATTGAATTACCATAATCGTCTTCATCTAGTTTACGTGTTGCCAACGTCTTACAGGGTATACACAAATAAATATCATCTTTTAACGATTGAAGCGGTTTTATTTCACATGAATCGTAACACTCGACATGCATACCAACTTTACAAGTAATACATCGACGTAAACTATCCTGTAAAACATAAACATTTCTGATACTCAGTTTTAGATGTTCTGGATGATTAAAAATTGTAGAATACTAGAATAACAGACTAGGATGATAATATATTGATTTTTTTTTTGGTACAAACCGTTTTAGTTGCATTCTTCAAACATTTACTGCAGTAAGTTTGTCGACATTGTTTACAAAGCCAAGGACATTTTTCCAGTTTGAATTTCCACATGGGTTCATTGACAATTAAGCAATCACGGTGAACTATTAATTAATAATATGCCAGTCAAATATGTTTACTTAAATATTAATTTACTTAATAAGTATTACCTCTAAAAACACAAATCGAGCAATTCAAAAAATCCTTCAAGTTGATTGTTTTCAAGCACAAGCAACAATTATCTGTTACTTCATAGGAACTTTCGGGAGAATTAGACCTCGAATGCATTGGCGACATTGATGATAAAAAAGTTGGTAAGTCGTTTGATGAATACTCAAATGATTCATAAGGCATACTTATTTCATTCACTGCTACATCATTTAGTTTTTTTGCATTACTCAATGGTTTAATAGACCTTTTAATTCTTCTTTTTGGGACATGAGTATCGGATGGATCAAATACTTTTTTTGCTCTCTAATTGAATTAAAATGTAATTAGTTATTAATCTTTATATCTAAACTTAAAAAAAAAAAAATTAATAATTACCGTATTTCTCTGTGGTCGAGAGATTACTACATTAGGAACTGGTATTTTTTTTCTAGGCATACTGATTACTTAAAGTAAACCTAAAACAAAATTTTAACTATTTAAAAAACAAAATGATATAAGTATTAAGTATATTTTAATTTTTGGTACATAGAATAAATGTTCTTAAAATATGTCTATTTGATTATCAGTTTAAAATTACAAATATATATGTACCTTATACATTATTTGATAACAATAATAATTTATTTACAATCTACAATATAATTATGTTATTACAGTTAATTATTATTCGTCGGTTTCCTTATTATCTCCCTCTCTGCAGTTTTCAATACAAAGATAGGTTTGCAGCAATTTTTTTATTTCATAAATAATAATAATTTTTTCTTTTTACCACATCCTTCTTAGGAATATAACTGATAACTGCCCGTGTCAGAGAATTTTCTCGGTATTTTCTTAAAATGATAATTTTTCCAAAACCTTTTCTAATACTTCTTCACTAGTGATTAATTAATTAATTAATCTCCCAATTTATCTTCTAGAGCACCACATTTTAAAAGCCAAATATTTCACCAAATTTCTTCTTTTATCATTTGTAATATTCCATGTTTCACTTTTATAAAGCATAATCCTCCAGAGTTAAGGCTTGGTAAGTTTTTCCAAATATGAAAACCAATATTCCTAAAGGTAACAAGAACTAATACTTCTTAGCATACATAGGTACCATGTTAATGTTTATAATATCTAATACTAAATTATTTTATAAATTAGATAATATATAAAATAAATATTAGTATAACTATTACAATAATTTACGAGCATCAATATTTATTGTTGTTGTCTGGAAAACGCATAATGGCCATGTTTTAAGCACATAAAGTATATATTATAGTACCCACTTATAATACATTTAATAATATATAGATATATACATAAATAATATAAAAATCAAATTATTTTTAATACTTACATATTTATATTTATTACAACAATTTTAAAGATATGTAAAAAAGTAAATTATTTTTAAGAAGAGAAATTGCAATGTAGTTATTAGTTTGAATATTATGTATTGAAAAAGAAACAGAAACATATAATAAAGGCATTTGAAAACACTTATTCATAATATTTTAAGAAACAAGATTGTATTACCTACCTATTTGGTATTATTTTTCCCAAATCAAATAAACGTGTACCGAGTTTTCTGTTATTTGAAAAAATATAAGATAGAACAATAGTAAGACATACAGATTTTGAAACTGAATATTTTTAAAACGCACAAAACAGCGGTTTAAAATATACGAGGTCGGGTTTAATCGTTGTAAAATAAAATAGTACTTATCAATTCAAATAATATTAATTTTTTTCTAAAAAATAAATTCAAGAGGACAGGACAGTTATAGAATTGATGTAAACAATATAAAATTAGCAAAACAATAATATAAGAACACCTATTTCCGGTAATCTTATTACATAGCTTATTTATACCAGGTTATTACATAGGTATCTCCATTTTATTAAAATATTATTATCAATTCACAAAATGGCAGCGTAAGGGGATATCAATGTTTCTTTATCTCGATGAAATATACACATGACATTTATCTTTATAAATTAATAAATTTGATTGGCTCCTTTTACGGTACCATTTTATTTTTAACATTTAAAATATCGATGGAGAGGGGGTTCAATGCAATAACCTGGTATATTTAAGCCATGTCTTATAGGTTGTTACCATAGTCCTTATGCTCCTAACATTAGTTAAGATTTTAGCTAAGGTTTATAGTTGTTACCACGAATTAATTAATCTTAATTGTTACTATTATATTCATGCCATACATTTTCAAGGTTTGTTTTATTATCTATAAACCTTGATTAATTTCCGGATCGGTAATATTAGGTAGATTCGTGCAGCGTGGCCACTATGGTTTCGTTACGTTGGATGCCATGTAGCCCACTTACCCGTCTTGTGTCCTTGATGATAACAGTTTTTGTTTGTGTTATTTTATTTAAATATTGTTTATTATTTGCGTTTATACTTTGTTTATTCAATAGTAAAACGCTAAATAATTTTCTACCGTTTTATTGCATGTGCGTGTGGTGGAAATCAAAATGAAAACAGAATAATCGGACCTAACCAGTGGCCGTGCAGTATGTGTGTATGTATATGTAACGTATTGTGAACCAGACCATAGCACGCCGAAACTGGGTACATGATAAGCGCCGGGAGATGTCATAACGGTCGTGGTGTGATGTCAAAGGAGTGTCGGATCAACGGCGGCAGTGGAGGCTACGTTAACCACTGTGAACAAGCGCTTGATGACAAAAGTGAAATGGTTATGGCGGTAGCATCAAAGATTCCATCCACTGCCGATCAGAAGAAATCGGCTAACACCAGAGTATACTTATCGAGTGACGACACCGAGCTGGGCAGCCTTAAAGACTTTGCACTTAGTAACCTTGATTTGATTAACGAATTAAAAGAACTCTTGATTGAAAAGGACAAAAAGATTTTACATTTGTCCAACGAAGTGACTTATGTAAGTTGATAATTCATAGTTTTGTTAGTATTTAACCTGTCAAATTGCTTAGTAAGCATCTTTGATTTTTTTTTTTAGCTTAAAAATAAGCTGGATGAGGCTAATCAACAATTAGCGGAAATAACAGCTAGAACAGATTCTCTGGACGTGATGCCTTTTACCCCAGTATCATCAACATGCTCATCAGGTATCGGCGATTTAAGTTCAGCTGAATTACAGGATCAAGATGCCAAAACAAAAAAACAACGTAGGACTCGTAGAATATCTACTAAACGTTCAAATGCAGAAGCAATAGATCCAATTTCATCAAAAAAACCAAAACAGCGTGTGCGAACTAAATCAGGTTATATATATAAAAATTATGCAAAATAATATATCATAATTCATTAAGGGAAACAGAAAGCGCTATTTATTAAGGGGCAAAGAATAGGTAATATTTGACAAAAATTGATCTAATAGCCATTTTTCATATGCCTACTAATTTCAAAGAGAACCTATATTACAATTTTCTAATTATACTACTTTTAAAGTTATTTTTCTCCGGGTTTGATGAAAATTTGATAAAAAATGATTTTTGTAGAAGTCATTTTGTGGCGTATCTATTGAAGTTTTTTCTTTTTTATGCGAAGCTTACTTTTTTTTCTGTGGAGACTAAAAGGCTGATTTTTGATTTAGCAATTAAAAAAGTAGTTAGATGTATTAGAAAAATACAAAAATGCTTATAAATATTTTTTGAAAACAAAAATAAAAAATCAGCCTTTTAGTCCCCATAGAGAAGATGTCAAACTATAAAACAAACAAAAAAGTTATTTAAATTGGTTCGGTAGGCACTTCAGAAAGTGACTCCGCGTTTTAGTCATTATTTGTAAAAAAAATACGCTTTCCGTTCCCCTTAACAGTTTAGGTATTTAATAAATAGACAGCTTAATTCCATAAAATATACAAAATTACAGCATTTTATGATTATGTAGTAAAACACATTTTGGTCAAAATTTAATTCAATTTCTTAAAAATTCTATCAAAACGTACATTTTATATCCTATTATAAACTTGGAATTATTAATTTATTGTTATTTAGGCGATACCGGAAAACTGCAAGAGCTATCATTAATCACATCAGATAAGGCCTACTACACTTGTTTAGGAAATTATGATCCCGTTAAAGAAGAACCATTACCAGATAATAGTGACACTAACTTAGAAGTATGGCTTCATTTAAATACAAATTATGATAATAATGAATTTGAATTTAATTATTGTATGTATTTTCAGATACCAAGTTGGAGAGTCAAACACTATACTAGTTGGTATTCGATGGAAGGCACTGAAAATATGTCCGATGACGTTTTCGAAAGCCGTCATTCAAGACTTGAGCTTTGGGAGCGAAAACGAAAAAGGTAAGTTTTAGGTTTATGTTTTTGTTCAAAGATTTAATTTTAACTTGCTTAACTGTTCCAGATGGGATATGCAACGACTCAGGGAATTGAGGAGAATAGAATATTTAAAAGAAGGACGTAATAAACACCATTCTCAAAATTCAAGTGATGGAGAAAAAGAAGAATTATCAACACTTCTACCAGATCCAGCCAATATAAAAGCAATTGAAATCACAGATTGCCTGCCAATTTCTGCGTTTGGGTGTAATTTGCATATAAAAAAGAAACCAGAATTGTAAGAACAAACAAATTAATCCTTAACATTTGTTAATTATAATGGAGTTTTTTATGTATCAAATTAATAATAGTCTATATCATAAGCCATTGAATTATATATTGAAGTGCATTTAAAAATGTTGTTTCTGAAAAACATTTTATATGCTTTTGGCTTCGTATACACTAGCAAGCTGAACCCTGAACCTTCTATACAAATGTGTTGCAGCAATATGTATATATAAGCATAGTTGGCAAAAAATTCTTAACCATAATAATAAACCAGCGGAAGTTTGTCTAATGTTTGGTATTTACCCAAAAATATTGGGTAAAAGCATAATTAAAAAACTTAACTGTGTTGGGGTTTTATGGGTTTATTACTAACTTTACATTAAATGTTTGTCAAAATAGCAACAATAATATGTCTACTCCACTGCAGATCATATTTGTGTATATATGCTAATTATTATGATAAATGACTCCAATTGGCGTCATTGTAAGTGAATCGCTGTGCAAAATTTGAGTGCAACACGTTCGCGGTTTGGTTTGATAGTGTGGTCGAGGCTTTTGAATAATACATGCTTTCAATACACTTTGTATACATGAGATCGACTGTTACGAGTTTTGCTAACAGGTTTCAATTAAATTTTATGTTTTACAGATTTAAGTTTTGTCACAGTCGTTGGTGTAATGACGGTTCTCAAGAATCTAAAGAACCTAACGGAAGAGGACTTCGCTCCTCAGGGCGTAATCAACATTTTGACAATTTATAAGTTTTTCCTGACATAAATAGTTTTGATGAGATCTGGCATCTCATGTTTGATATAATAATGTTTATGAAATGTATATTTTATTTGATGGTATAAATTTGAATTGTACACAAATTATAATTTGAAAGTTAACAATTAACAAACTAATTTCTATTGTGATATTTATCTAGTATTTAGTATTTGAAATACTAAAATCGTAAAACTTTTACTATTATTTTTATTATTATTATTATTATTTTTTGTATAATTATTTTACCAACTACATTGCATTAGTAGAAATGTTTATTATCATTCTTGTATATTATGTTTGTGATTGAATAACAATTATTATAAACCCTGCTAAAGTCCTACAAAAATTTGTTTTCTCTTGTTGGACAGTCGCATTGCGCTTATGACAAAACATGTACTATTTTGATGGAGCGAACGGATTACATTTATTACAAGTTATTATCACATTGTGCAATTTCTTTTTATTCCAAATAATTTAATAAATTATACAAATATAATATTATGTGTATATATAATATATAAACGTAAAAGTACAGGGGTGTATTTGGGTTATGTCTTCTGAACGTGACCGTTTAGAAGCATTTCCTGTGTACGATGGATGGGCCACTCTCGTCGTACTCGGTTTTAGAAATCCACATTTGTTGGAAAGTGGACAGGGACGCCAAAATGGACCCACCAATCCAGACAGAGTATTTACGTTCTGGCGGCGCGATTGTTTTGATCTTCATCGTGGATGGTGCCAACGAGGTGATTTCTTTTTGCATCCTGTCTGCTATGCCCGGATACATGGTAGTGCCTCCGGACAGTACGGTGTTTGCGTACAAATCTTTCCTGATGTCCACGTCACACTTCATGATCGAGTTGTAAGTGGTCTCGTGAATACCCGCCGATTCCATTCCCAAGAACGACGGTTGGAACAGCGACTCTGGACACCTGAACCTTTCGTTACCGATGGTGATAACCTGAATGCAAACCAAGTACAAAATATGTAAACCGATCAAGATATCTGTTATCGACTCAAATTTGGCAATAATACTGTTGTTTTGGTGACTCTGGAACGAGACTTACCTGTCCGTCGGGAAGTTCGTAGGACTTCTCTAGAGCGCTGGACGATGCGGCCGTTTGCATTTCCTGTTCAAAATCTAAAGCCACGTAGCAGAGCTTTTCCTTAATGTCACGCACGATTTCTCTCTCGGCAGTCGTGGTGAAACTGTATCCGCGTTCGGTTAAGATTTTCATCAGGTAGTCTGTCAAGTCGCGGCCTGCCAAGTCCAGACGAAGGATAGCGTGGGGAAGGGCGTATCCTTCGTAAATGGGCACCGTGTGTGACACACCGTCACCGGAGTCCAAAACAATACCGGTGGTTCGACCCGAAGCGTACAACGAGAGCACAGCTTGGATGGCCACGTACATGGCGGGTGTGTTGAACGTTTCGAACATGATCTGTGCGCAACAGGAAATAAGTTTGTACGTTGTACTGGGAATAATCAATCACATTCAATAATTTCCAAAGAGGTAAGAGCAAGAATGTAACCCGCCTTCCAGCAGGACAGATGGGACTAGAGTATGAAGAAAAAACATTTCTTTAAATATGTGATGCGTAAAGGGACCTCTTGACGACAAAGTTGATTTTGAAAAATGATTAAGGTCGAATGTAACGATTTCTTACTATAAGTATCAAAAATTGTACCCCGGTGTCTCTAAGATTAGGATATAGGTCAAAACATCGAATGAAATAATAGCCGAAATTAGAATAATTCGGCCGACTAAACAGTCTAAAACTGCAAAGACAGCAAAGTGGAATAACAGATAACTTTAAACTACATAGATGTACCCGGTCTAAAATTGTTCAAAAATCAATCAGTATTCAGAAAATTACACTTACTCAATTTTTAAAAATGCCAAAAAAGGCCCCCCTGGCCGTATCGCTTTCCGCATTACACGTAATGGTATTTATAACAAGTCTAGACAAGGGGGGGGGGAATTTTATCGATACTCAATACTGTTTTTAAACTCATTATTTTAGTAAAATATTATAAGTATAAAGATGAGAATGTCACTGTGATACTAATGATATATGATATTTATAATTTAGTGTAAAAAAAAAATATATCTTATTGGTACTCAATAACGTACATTTGCTATTCTCGGTTATTGATTTACAAGAAAAAAAAAACTGGCGGTGGCCCCTGATTGACATTATTTTGTGGGGACTTTTGCACCCTCTGAATACGGACCTGGATCTAGTCCCTCAATAGGGGAAATACCTATGACTTTTAATACCTTTGTAACGCACTCACCTGTGTCATTTTTTCTCGGTTGGCCTTTGGATTGAGAGGCGCTTCTGTGAGCAATACGGGGTGTTCTTCGGGAGCGACTCGCAATTCGTTGTAGAACGTGTGATGCCACACTTTTTCCATGTCGTCCCAGTTGGTGACTATACCGTGTTCGATGGGGTATTTGACCGTGAGCACCCCCCTTTTGGATTGCGCCTCGTCGCCCACGTAGCTGTCTTTTTGCCCCATGCCGACCATTATGCCCTATACGAGAACATACGTTAAGGTCGTTAAGTATACTGTAGTATACTTGCCCCGAGTAAATTGGCTACGGTATTTACTTGGTAACGAGGTCTTCCCACTATCGACGGGAACACAGCCCTGGGGGCGTCGTCGCCAGCGAATCCGGCTTTGCACATACCCGAACCATTGTCCACGACCAACGCTGCTACTTCTTCGTCGCACATGTTTGTGTATTCTGCAATTTGTAAAAAATGATAATACTGATGAAATACAGACGGTATAAACGGTTTTAACACACGCGATAAAAGCCACTCGTGTCAGTAAGTCCCAGAATGACAGTGTCGTGCGATTTAAAACAATAACTTATGGAACGCGCATGGGGTAGCTAATGGTTAAACACCGCAGAAATCATTCCGGGACACCGTGACGCGATTTAAGCACCTCGCTGTGTGGACTATTTAGCTGTAACATATAGGTAATATAATATTTTACTAACCCGCCGTTTACGAAACACGAACAAAAATAAATAAATAAATAATAAACAAAAACGAATGGACGGTCGAACAGCGAATGTACGCTGACACGGCGCGTGCTTAACAATTTATACTTGCCGCGTTTTTTATGGAAAGTAAAAAATGCACTGTTGGTAGGGCTAAGGAGGCGCCCGCCATAGCCGCAGTAAAGGTCGTCCCCGTCAACGGCAACAGTCAACGTAATGCGTGCGAGTTTATGACCATATCTGACGCGGTCAATCACGCTAATTCCTTTTAGAGGCTGATCGGCCCCGCGTGTCATGGAAAATATTGCATTGCTCCCTTCCCTGTTGCTTCTGCCGAATGCATCACGTTCACAGCTGTTGTACTCCATACTCTTACCTAAAATAGTTTTGGTCTTCCGTCTACACTTCCCGCTACTGTCTCCTCTTCGGTTACAACAGGTACTTAAATGTTGCTAAAATATGTGTGTTTAAAATAGCGATAATAAAATAGGTAATTAATCGGTGCTAAAAGCCATACTTCAAACACAGTGGCGGATTTGTACCTATTTCAAACACAGTGACGGATTTAACGGGGCTAAAATGGACATTAAACTAAAAACCGTACAAGTTATATCAATTAACATTTATATATATATATATATATTTTTTAATCGGTCAGCAAACCATTTTTTCTATTATGTATTTGTATATACCTAATATTCGAATTTTCGGAAAATAAGGTTTAATTTTTAAATATTTAAGTATACATATATGGTATAGACATGTTATAGTGGTAAGTCAGAACGGGCCGTTTAAATTTAAGTACTTTTTTTTGGAACAAATTAAATAGTGTCTCGCCTCCGAAGAGTTATTTTAATAGGTCCTTTGTAATGTTTGCGAACTTGACCATTTTTCTTAAATCCGCCATTGCTCAAATTACAATGAAAATTAGTACTTGTCAGATTTAGAGGGGACGTATACATATACCAATAAAATTATCACACTAATTAAGTTAATCGTGTTTGTTTTGAAATTTTTATTTTTTCACAGTTGGAGGAACTTGTTATGTTTAAAAACGCTTCTGATTATAAAATACTCACAGTCATCATTTAATTATTTTCTGGAAAAAATAAGTGTACTTATAAAATCACAAAGAAGGTACCTATAGACTGCTAAGTTTAAAACTAATTTCGAATCGTCTTTTGTTTACTTGACCTTTTTCAAGCTCGAAAGACTCTCAAATAAACTTTGATGACAATTAAAATGTTACACTTAAATCTCAATGTAAACCTGATTATTTTATCAATAGAACTAAGAACATTATGGTTAAGTAAGCATTTTATATTAAAATAAAATTTATAAAAACACAGGAAGCTGTTAATTCAAATAAGAACATTTTTTATTGTAAATATTAAACACTACAATAGACAACTGTTTGTTTACTTAATGTTGACCTTTTATCACCTTTTTCCATGACCATGAAACGTAGATTTCATGTGTAATAGAGATCTGTATAATTACATTATGACGATAAAACCGATTTACCAGTACCTATATCTAATTGTAAAATCGAATGAATTACAATAATACATATAATAGCCGGATGTTTCGGTTGACTGTCGGGAACATACGACTCAAGGTTATTGTGCGAGAAACAGACCATATTAGTAGTAATATTTTTTAATGCAGAACAAATTTATCATATATTATAAACAATAAGCATAATTTGCACTGCTGACTGCTCCTTAGCTTGTTGAAAAACCCTTTCAGTTTTGTTATATTTTAACAGTCAGTGGCTTATTTATGGGGGATAGATCCTCTCCTTTGACTTTTGCTTTTTTGTTTAGTTATCTGTATTTCTCAATATAATACTATGTTAGCCACTGCTAACAGTACGTTAGTAGTTAGGTACATGTTACAATATTTACAATAATATACTTATTTAGATAAATTTATAAAAAGATATATAGATTATTAATAGCCCATTAAGGGTTTCGTAGAGCGCATACGAAACTAGAGGGGAACTTAAAAAATATCAAATACAAACGAATAATAACTATTTAAAATTGCTGTAAAAAACAGCTTTGTATTATTTTATACCATATTATTATTATGTTATGTCTTATATGACTTTTATATATTTTTTATTACTTATTATAAGCAGGTACGTATTGCATCGAATTGGGCCAAACGAACCGTCGTCGATCGGTCGAAAGCTTAAAATGGTAGTGTATCGCACTGCTGTTTGGTAATGTTTGAAAATTGCGATTTCCAGTTATTTATAATACCAACCTTAGCGTTCGTTTACTTTAATAGGCATGTCACTTACATTGCGCATGACAGGTATAGCATCAGTATAGAGTATACCTTGGAAGTCCCTTAAAAAGTAGTATTGAATTTACGGCGACAAAAATTGTAAAATTGTATGTAGTACACGTACAAATACAAATAAAACAGCTAAAAAAAAATGTAAACCCACGATTCAACATCATTTGTCTATTCTATGTCATCCGATGAGCGGTTCATCACTATGGTTGGGGTCGAATATTACCTACCAAAAATTAGATATTAAATCGAAGAGGGAGGAGGGATCGGGTAACAAGTCCAATTTATTTGTATTTATAACTCGAGTATAAGGTAGCAATAAGCAATAATATAGATGGATACACATTAGGCTAATAACATCATTGGTTAATACATATCCGTGTGTTTTTTTGTGAATCATGAAATTAAATGATATGGTTTGCGATTTTACTCAAAAAACGGGACGTTTGTAACGAACGAATGTCATATTGTCATGTTTGAATTTTGAGGGACACGGCGTTTGTGGTAGGCATACACATTTGTATACAATGTGGTATAATCAACAGCCTTATACAGATAAATAGGAAGTGGCGCTGTCGACCGTGTAAGGTAAGTATTATATTATAGTTTAAACATATTATATGTGCATGTCGCATATTATTGCATACAAATGAAATAATGAGAACCAAGACGGTACAATTGACCATTTTTCAAAGCGATATTTGCCAATGATATCATTTTCTACCTTCTCTTGTTTTACAATTTGTCTTCGATTTTTTAAGGGATTTTGTTAAAAAAAAACTAATGTACTTCACTAAGATATTAAGCAGCAGACTCAACGTATTTAATATAGAAATAAAACCAAGTTAATAATATTTAATTAACACTTTTAAAACACAATATAATTCATACAAGTTTACGTACAATAATTAATTAAAATGACACAGAGTATTAATCAGATAACTGCGTATTGGCTAGCTCCCTTTTATATAAAACTAAACAACTATTAACCCTAAATAACAATAGATTACAATATAGCGTGGTTGGGCTACTGGCCAATAAATGTAAAATTTTATAAACAATAATTTACAATGACAAGGTGTTACTTCATCTACATGACAATAATAGTAAATATAATAATATTAATAATAACAAATAGTTGGGGATTATTACACTGATGAACATCGCCCATTAGAACACACTGGATTACAATTTGTATTTCGCTTCATTTGAATAAAATTCAATTGTATTCTTTAGTTTCTCACCGCTTAGTTTTATAATAGTCTATTGTGTGTACAAGTATTAAGTATTAAAGTTAACAGAAGTTGGTAGTAATATTGAATGTTCTTTTGAAATTTCAAAGGGCGAGCTTTGGCATAAACCTGACCTAACCCAAAGCCTTTGGGGGGCTCATAAAACAACTGGACGACAGCCGACAGCCTCACTCAGCGATTTATTGAACGACTCTAAGAGGAAATAATGATATCCAATGATGGTCGCTCTCCCCTCTGTATTGTACAAGAACATTATTATTATTATATTAGTCGACAGGTTTAGCTGTATAAAATGATATTCATTAACGTTGTCGGATCACGACAAATATGGAAGTGTATCGGTACGTCCATAAATGGTCCTCACGCTGATCACTTCGTGAAACCTGTTTTTTATCACACTAAACTACACATACTCAATTATTATGAGCGACGTTTTACGACAACTAAGTACGGTGACCAAAAATTGTAACAAAACATTGTTATTGACAAAGTTGTATTGGAAAAGCTAGAGGTTCGTTTTAAAAAAAAGTCAAGGTTGTGATAATCTAAATAAACAAATTGAATAAGGAATCCTCGTTACTTACTAATAAATTTGGTGGTAATTTACATTATAATTTTACCTTTTTTTTTTAAAAAGAAGGATGGAGGATTAAACAAAATTACATTAAAAAAAAAATCAATTAACTTAATTTATAAAATTACACCAAAAAGATTTAATAGTTTAGTTAACATATAACACAAAATAAACGTTAAAGAAAACCAATTAATATAATATATATATACCTATTAACTGGTAAAACACAAAACTAATATAATATTAAAAAATGAATACCTACTCAAAATGTTAACGTCGGTAATTTGTTCTGCTCATAGGTTAGAATTTTGAATTTATACAAATTAATTATCACATATACACAAAGAATATTTTTTTTTATTTGAATAAATAATATTAGATTGAATAATAATAGAAAATTGAAAGATACCGAATGAGAGATGTTTAAGGAATGTTTGTGTATGAACTGTCCCTTATTCACTTGAAAAAGTCATGTATGGCGTCATCTTGACACGATCAAAGACTAAAGAGTACACAATAAAAATATTCATGAAATTACACAAACACTTCTATTAGCGTAGTAAAACTTATGCAATTGTTCTGTTAGAATTTATAATTATAATATAACGGTTTTGTAAAAAACTATAAATATAATAACGCCTTAAAGCACACAATTTTTTCATCCATATGAAACAAATAAAGATCCGAGGTCCCTCTCCTTTATCTTGTTTTGTGTAAAGTGTTTGATTTAGTTAAATATTTATGAGGCACATAAAAGCCAAGATATAAATTTTACATTGTTTTCAATTTTCACATTGTGAATTTTTTTCTTTTGATTATAACTATTAATTAAACATTTATTATTAAATTTGAACGAACCTACTATAACATTTTTTTAGAAAGACTAAAGAGTATTTCGATATGTACTTGTTGTGGCTTATGGATACTATTAGGTACTATATGCACTCAATTCAGGGTTCGACCTCTAAGTGTACATTACTTCATTTCATGAACAATAGGTACTCATAGAAAAGCTATAAAAACGTATATGGTTGATTTTCGTGCATAACCACTATCAATTAAAAACTGAATTCATTTTCATAACAAGCTATACCCTATGTCTACTTTGAGCTCGAAAAATAATATACAATTACTTTCATCTTTGGCGAGGACAAGATGAACAAACGACATGATGTCATCGATAGCTTAATTTGGTGAGGGATATCTAAACAATTACTGAAAGTATTGTTTTCTATTAGGAAGTACAGATTGGGCTATGCATGACAATTTATCTTCGGGGCGTCCTGAATCACATGTATGTTCATTGTGTAACGAGAAAAGGATATGTATGGATATGTATTTAAAGTTAGACTCGTGAGCAGTGTTGAGCCTAGATAAATAAATAGTTATCTAGATAAATTAAGATAATTTCATAAACATTTATCTAAATACAGATAAAATATGAGTAGGCTTTGTTGCCGTTTTATTATATGATGAAAATATACTAGTATAGACGATTATTTAGATTTCCTGGTAAATAAACTTTTAACTAAAAACTTAATCTTTTTCTTATTTTATTGAGTATCGAAACCTGGGATATGCGATACATTTATTATTACATTATGTACACAATAATGAAAAATGTGTTAGTTAGAAAACAAGATACACGAAGGTAATAAAACAGCTTTTAAGTATTATTATTGTTTTTATGCAAAATTTGTATTCGCTATAATAATTGTAATAATTTGGTACTATCATGCAAGCAAATTCAAACGATCAGAAAGGCTAATAATAAAACAAGATATGGCCAAAAACAATTTTTGTTTTCCATAACAATAAAAATTGTACTTGTAAAATACAGTAGTTCTCTTAACGTAAAAACTTAAAAAATGTGTGATGCCAACCGTTATTTGTCAATTATCTACATAACCAAACGATAGAAAACGCATCGTCAGTTTTTGTATACAATACATACATTTCAACTAGCATTAAAAATGTTAGTCGAATACATGTAAATACCGATTAAAATTATTAGGGTCACTACTTGTTTATAGGTAGATAAGATCACTTTCAAAATAAACACTTTGATGCGTATCTATATAGATATATATAAAATCATTGTCAATAATCATTGCCTTTTTACAACCTAAAACGATAAAGATGTACAATATAATTTTGCCAAAAAACTGAAGGTGAAAAATAAATATTTATAAATATTTTATATCTATAGAACGCTGCACGCGTGGTGAAAAAAAGGGTATAGAAAACTGAAATTGAAAGGAAGATTTTTAAGATAGCTTGAAAAAGTATTTTTCTAAGAATTCCTAAGATTAGAGCATCAATTAATGTTTTGTGTAACAATAAGTTTGCAAAAAGACATTTGTCTGTAAAAGCTTATTTATATGGCTTGACCATAGTCATGAAAATTGAGATTAAAATTTACAACAAAAGCAGCAAAACTCAAAAAATGTAAATTCAACTTTTTAATTAGTTTTTGCAGTTAATGACAAGTTAAAAATGTTTTCTAGTATTTAACTTGAGCTGTGAATTATTCTGTTTTTAAATTATATAAAATTATAGATTGCTTTTAAAACGTATACATATATTTTGTTTAAATCACTATTTGCTAATTCAATTCGCATATAAAATAATGCTGAAGACTAAAATATATATTACATGTTACTAGATGTAGACTGCTGATTATTATTTATTTTCAGTGTAATCAATAGAATATTTTCAACAACATAATCATATTAAAACAGTTTAATACACATAATTATTACTACATAATGTGTAAAAATAAAATCTAACTCGTTTAATATCTAATATTATTTTACAATTGATAAATAAATATCGATAAACAAACAATTAATATTCTTATAAATAATATTATGATAATAATAGGTTAACGTCAATGACCTTAAGAAGACATACTTTTTTTTCACACTTTAAATCAACAATTTTAAAAAGATACAATCATTTTTTAAACTACAACGCAAGTGAATATTAATAGGCTATTAATCATAAGTAAAGTATGTAAAAATTAAATATTAAACTAAGAAAATAATTAACACTATAAATAATAAGGAAAAATATAATTCTATTTATTTTAGTACAAGGCTTAATATCTTGTTTTTTATTATTAGTAAATATTATATGTTTGTTTGGTCGTTTTAAAGTTTTAATTAAACAATTATTGCTGTAAAATTAAATTATTATTATGGTTATACTTCATTTCGTGCATAGTACTTATGGTTTAAATAATGTATTATGTGTAAGTTTCAATTAAAATAATACATAAATATGTATTTGACAAAGATTGTCGAGTCAAATTTGAAATAAAATGACATCCCAGGATAGATTGCCATTTTAATAGCAAGATGCAAGCAAAATTCTCAAAAACAAAAATAGTAATTAAATAAGAAAACGATTAGGATAGAAAAAGTATAAACAGTTTATATACATTTCTGTTCATAACATATTATAACAACAATAATTAAATTGGTTTCATTCATGCACACAATTACTTAAAATTTACCCATCCTTAACATACATACACTTTGTACAATACTATATTATTACAACAACACAAACATAATAACACTAACGTTCCTAAGCCGATTTGGAATGCCCTTAACAATGTTAGAACCGTACAGGTATAGATACTTTTATAAATCCTGGGACATCGATTTAGAGGTGGAATGAAGAATGACATTGTAACGGAAGCAGAAAATAACTAGAGGTAGGGATGGCATAAATAAAATGTCCTAGGCATACAATATATACCTAGGACTAATGAAAATGAATATTTTTGTTAGCACTGCGGATATAAAATATTAATAAAAGCGTGTAAACATTAATTAAAAATATTCGAGACAGAACCTTCATTATTATCAATGAATTAAAATTGGATTAATTGAATTTAAGTAATTAATTATAGTTAATAACTATCAATAAATAATAGTGACCGTCGCTGCTGTATGAAGTACACCAAATGCGTTGCGTGTACTACACAAGTACATAATAAAACAACATAAAAGTAGCTTTCGTTTTTACAACAATACATAATATAGAAAAGGTATTGAGGGGAATACATAATAATAATAATACAATATAGATAATATTTGTCGATAATAATATAAGCGTTCAACCGAAAAGCTTCTCGAAGCACATGTGACAATATGGCTTGTCGTTCTGCTCCTTAAACGTGCCCTTGTTGAGTTGCTTCAGGCAAAAGGCGCACACAAAGTGCTCGGGGTGGAACTTCTTGAACATGGCTGTTATGCAGCGACCGGCAATGGGCTTGTGGCAACCGGCGCACAGAGACCCTCTTTTGGCGTGGTAGTGGGTCTCGCAGTAGGGCTGACCCTCGTGATCGAAGAACTGGCCGCTGACAAACGGCATCCGGCAATCCTGTAGGACACAACACATCCAGAGGTCAGTACGCACATGTCCAATGGGATCATCGGGGTCACCCCGTATTAAAAACCATCATAGAATAACGCTCCAGCAGGGATGGGTGTAGGTACTTGGATTATTTTATCATCGTTAAACGTGTCACGGGTCCCCCTCCGCGTTGGTTACATCCATCGTCAGGCTTCGATGGACATATGCCAAAAACAAGACATCAATCGTGGGTACGAGTAGAGAGATATTATGTCAGAACTAAGTGACAGGAGGACGCTCTCGTTGTCGCCGGGAACCACGTGATAGCGACACTTGGCGGATCTTTGATATCAAACGTGTTTGGAATACAAAAATAATAAAGAACAGCACGGCTAGGACTAGCCGTATTAAGATAATGATATGCAGAACGATTCAGTCAATCGACGTACAAAGGTTACAAATTAAAAACTGCACGGGAGGTTAGAAAAATGTTGTCAACGACATAAGGTTTTTCCTTTTTTGCTACTCATATTAAAATCTCTTTTTATTGAGAGCTCCGTTTTGTTGTTGGATTATTAGCGTTATTTATAGTAGGTAATTAATACAGGGATCCACCGATAGACACATAAATCAACATAAACAACTAATTATTTATATAGTTTTTATTCAACATGCAACAAAAGATGTGAACTATAATAATAGTAATAATAATAATTTATATAATTATAATAATCATGTTATGATATGATTGTACGCAATAACAATGTGTTGTGTATGATAACTCTAGACAAAAACAATCGTCTGTAAAAACAACAATATAAATTTTATTTCATCAATCCTCCTCGTCGACGCCGACACATTTGGGGCACACTGGCTTTCCTTCCATGGCGTAAAACGATTTGCCAGTCACCGGGTTCTTGCAGTCCTACAAGCATAAACGTTGCAGACCACCGTTAAGTGGCGGTAAGAGTGAAGACCCGACGGCCAATAATTGTTAAACATTGGACAAAACAAGCAAACGGGTTATGGCCGACCCGACAAATTGTTGTTAAGTTGACGCACTGCGGCTGTCACAAGACAATCGCGTTGCGTAATAATAGTTTTAGCGTTTTTGGCGGCCGGTACTACAGAGTAAGTAAACAAACAAAAGTGATTCGGTTCCCGACAGCATTAAGGTTAACGGCGAGATGATGTTAATTCACCGCCTACGCGGTTGTAGATTTTATTAATAGACGATTTTGGAGTGTACTGGTCGTATGCCAGTTCATTTTTACGTATGAAAATAATATGCTTCGGTGACCTACAAAAAAACAGCTAAAAATACACAAGCACGAACATACACACATAGAAAAAATCAATTTCGTCAAGTCACACCGAACGGCTGAAAATAATATATCGTGTAAAGTGTAAATGTGATAAACGGACAACGACTTACCCTGCACACGAAACAGGTGGAATGCCACTGGGTGGACAACGCCGACACGTAGTTCTCCATAATCGGTCGGGAGCACCCTCCGCATTTGGGGGCGAACATGTCGTAGTAGTCGTCCCGGCAGTAGGGACGCCCGTCCCGTTCGTGGAAACCATCCTCGCCGAACTGTTTGCCGCACTGAGCGCAGAAGAAGTGTTCTGTGTGCCAGGTCTTCTCCAGCGCGGTCACGCATTTCTAGAGGGGAAAACCCGAAAACACGTGTGAAATAGGTGTTTATGGGGGGCAGTAACGCTGCGGTCTATCGTCTTACGTCCAGAATGGGTCCGTTGCAGTAGGCGCACCTGGGCGAGAACAGGTTGTGATAGTCGGGTTCGCAATACGGATGGCCGTCGCGTTCGAAAAAGTTGCGTGTGCCCAACTCTTGCGAACAGTGAGTGCAGATGAAGTGCTCCGGGTGCCAAGTCTTGCCCAGGGCCGTTATCACCTGGCCGACGATCGCCTTGTCGCAAGCCGTACAGCAGCCCTTTTGCGTGGTGTTCACCCCTTGGCGGTTCATTTCGGCCGTCAAGCTTCCCAGCATACAATCCAACGGCGCAGCCGAATCAACCGTCTCCGTCGCGTGGCTAGCTTGTACCGGACTGGAAACCTATATAAAAAAAAAACAAATTAACAACATAAACAATATTGCAAATTTGCACAAAAAAAACAAAAAACGCTTATGTGATTTTGCAAAGACATTTACACGGGCTGATCGAAAGCGGCTGTGTATTGATGGTGGCGAAGAGTTTTGTTTGGATTGTGGAGACCGACGTCCGGACCGCCGGTATATAACACACGGCCGTTGTGTTAATAGCTGCCAAACTCCGCCCGCTTACACAGGCGGCGTGAGAAGGGAGACAAGACGAAAAGTCTCTCGTTAAAAAGTTATTTCTGGAGACTGCCAATAATGGGTAAAACAACAAAAAGTGCGGTCAACAGCGTTGCGCGCCGCGCACTGCACTAAACTAAACCGGGAGTTTTAGAGTTCTGTCGGCTTTTTGCTTTTGCGTTTTCGACAATGAGCAAACAACCCAAGCCCGGCAAGTCACGCACACAGTCACGCGACCGACGTTGACAGGGCTCAATTAACAGATTTAACGAGATTTCGTTGAGCGCGTTAACGCTGGCCAGGGAGACGAGGCAAACATAATATTGGCAGACATAAATTCATAGTGTCAAAGAGATAGTTTTGATCGTTTCGCAGCATATTATAGTGATTTATTTTTGCGAATTGTTTACATCGAACGGTTAAATACATTATAATATGATCGCGTGCGTTATGCCGTAAAAATTCACAAAACGAGCTTTTTTTCTTTCTTTCGCATTATGGAAATCCTAATAACAGAGAACACGGTCACGGCCTGGTGCCAAGGCCGATTGTGGGAACGTCATTTGAAAAATCAATGCTAAAATGAATAATGGTGTTACGCGATTTCATACATATATATATATATATATGAATGTACAATCACGATTACCAAAACTTTAGTCTGTCGGACAAATAGTAATGGTGAACGCAGAAATATAAAAAATAACACAGACGAAAGTCCGATAAGTCATGGCGTGGTTAATTATACATCATCCAGAACGATATATATAAGATGAGATTTTTAGCCGAGAAGATCAAGGAAAACGCCAAATAATATATTAAATAAAATGAACTGGAGATCAACTCTCAACTAAGACTAGATTATTGCAAAAAATTTTTCAAAGCTTTTTGTACGGTTAAATGATTGTTTTTATGGAAAAGATGTTATCGATGTTGATAGTCAAATTAAGTTGTCCATAAATTATATCCGAAAGGTACTTTATGAGGCCAAACACAAAATAAGTTTACACATTCATCTTAAAAATCGAGAATATCACCATACAAATGTACACATTACTTTGCTAAAACTTTTTTAAAAATAGTTGACATAGTTCAAAATTTTTGAGATATTATATTCATGGAGAGTACTACTGATATACAATTATATTATACTGTAAGAAATGCAATTCCCCCGGATAGAGAGAAAACTTTTTTTCTTTATTTCACTGTATTAGGCATATTTTTCGGATTTGAAAATTAAAGGTAGGTCCAAGAAAAAAGCTCCAACACTAACACAATAATTCTAGTACAACTGAATACTGAAAGTTGATATTATGTAATATTTTAATCATGTATAAAAGGTGCCCTACAAATTTATTTTCTTTCAAAATGCAACAACTTGATATGTTTAAAAAAATATCATATACTACTTAAAATCATATAAAACAATATAAAATCGTATATTAAACCAAAGACAACGCTAATTTTATTCGAAATGCCGAAATGAAAGGTTTTTATCGGGAAATAATAGGCGACTTTCAAATACCAAATGACCCATTTGAAGTTTCTAATGATACAAAACAAAACAACAACTTTACAAAACGGTGGTTTAGCCAAACACGAAATGATTCGTTATGGTACAATAATATATATTATCAGTACAAAAATACACATACAGACGAAGAACGAAATTAATGGCCAGCACAAACTTTGATATTTATTATATTGTGGTATAAAAATGTAAAGTTGACCTTGAATATGTTTTATTAATATTTGAACTATTTCGAGGACTTTTTTTATTTGTTTTCATCAATGTGTGATGCGTAATCCTACACTGTTCAATTGCATATTATTTTGGCAGCTATTCGTTCATAGATTTTTTCCACCAGATGTCTTAAGCCGATATACTCGGCTCGAACACGCAGTAATTAAACGGACATTATAACTTGAGTAATTTTTAATGTTTGAATTTATTCACCGAGTTTAAAAATAATACCGTATTCGTGGTTAGATACAAGAAGAATAATTTCAATGTGATTACAATGATGCATCGTCCTCGTCAAGAGTTAAGAGTTAAATGTATACATTAGACATCTCTGAGATGTACTAATAAATTTACTCGATTATAAAGTATTTAACGACTCGAAATAAAACGTCCCACGCGCCAACACTTAACTACAAGTGGATTAGAACGTCGAGAAATTGTCTCACTAGTAAATTATGAAAAGTAAACAAGTTTACTTAAAAGTCATGGTTGTAAAGAAAAAGTAAAAAACTATGTACAATAAATGTTAAGTTTGGATTGAATTCAAATTTGTAGTTATTCTAGTTACTTTTTACACACTTCTATAAAAACATGCAAACGCATGAACTTTTGGGCACTAACTAATAATATGGTATTTCAATTAAACAATCATAAAAGAAAAACTATGAAATTTATGAATTCTAATGTTAGATGAAGGACCAACAAATACTATAATTTGTTAACTAAAATATGACCTAGTTTTTTTAAATTTAAAATTACATTATTTTTAATATTTATCTTGATGAAAGAACTACGTTTCAAGAAGGTCTTTTCATTTGCATTTATCTACAGACAACGGAGAATATTAATTATAATTATGCTCATCAATAAAGACAATTTAATGCCAATATTATGCCAAAAAATAAAACCGCCCATTAAGTCTCGTTGCCTATTGCGTTAGTCATGATATATTTTTGGTAAACGTTTTAAGTTAAACAAAATCCTATCGCCTAAAATATAATACAAAGATATTAAAAAGATGTTTTTAAAAACTGATTATCATTAATCTAACTTTATTTATTTCAGACGTAATGCTAGTTAATTAGTACATTTTTAAGGTGTAATTAGAAAAATACATTATAATCAGAATCAAAAGACGTAGCCAACGGTGTCCAGCTCATATAAAAAAGATTCATATTAAACATTTTATTATTTCCAAAATTTTTCTAGCACTTAGAATTGGCTAAGCCTTGTTCACAATAAGATAAGAAAATGTAGAAACCGAAAATACCCATAAAATTTAAAAAAAATCTTCATGTTATGCTTGAATGGGCATAACATAAATTTTGATCACTCTATTAATGACAACATCACGTTTAAATAATAAATATGGACAGAATGTTATGAAACCCCTTTTTGATTAGGATAAGCCTTTTTTTGGTCTCTAAGATCTTAGGTTTTTTTAAAAATGTTTAACTTGAAACATAATTTAATAAATCTCACCGTGTTACAAACGCGAGTTGGTCGATAATATACATATTACAATTTTAATTAAAAAAAAAAAAAATTGAATATATTATAATTTGATTTGCGTTTACCTTTTTTACTATACGTTATAATAGAACCTACTTTTTTTTTCAAAAAGGTATTTCAGGACACCTGCGTGTTTTTTTAAGATTTATTGATGCCAAAATACATGAAGTCATTATGGACACAACACACAACAACAACAAAAATGACTTGACGTCGCCAATGGTTGAGATACTCTTGTCAGAAAAGTAAAAAAAATAAATACAATTGAACTGTCATGCCAAAAATAGTGAATTATATAAATACAAGTGTGTGTTATAACAATATTTTCTTACCTTGAAGTCCGAAAGTGATGCCATCAGGTCGTCCAGTTCGCGAGTAGCCGAAGAAGCAGTAGGACACACTGTGCGAGTGGTTGTCGTAGTAGTTTCTTCCATCATTAATTTCTTAAGTATTTGACCATTATTGCTAATGAATTGTAGAATATATAAAATTAATTAGTACAATACCTATATTAAATTTGTGGGTAATTCATAATAGGTAATAGCTATTTATTTGTATTTATATTATGATATAAATGAGTCATGTTTTGTTCCACTGCGCAGATAATATAATTTATATTATAATATAAATTAAAAACGATTTTACTGAAAATACAAAAAATAAATTGAAATGTTGAACAAACATTTCAAAATCATCTTTTACAATTTTAAAAATAAATAATAAGAAGAAAATTGAGTTATTAAGTCAAAATGCAGGTAAACATTTAGTAAGAAGTTGACGTTTTAGGATATTAGGAATATATCTTGTATTGTATCAAAACGGGGCAATTTTTATTTAGCTCATCAAATAATTTTTTACTTGAAATACATTTAATTTACTATTTTAAATAATAAATTATTTATTATTTATAACTTCGAATCATATTTGATTTAAATACACTTATATTTTACTGACTCAAATTACCAGTTCTTTTAAAATAACTATATATTTGATTTTGTTATTTCAACTTTTATTCAAATAAGCAATAATTAAGTTAGTTAAAATAAAATGTATTGAAATAATTATTATACCAAACGATTACTAACAAAACAATTATAAGTTCCAAAAATAAATTATCACATTGTACATTATAATAATAATAATAAATAATTTTATGATTACCTTTGAGAAGAAATTGACGTATCTAATTCATCTAAGAGAGAGTCGACTGAAGGGCGATTGGGAATGGTACTGGTGGTTCTAACTGGAAAGGAATATGAATCTCCATTGACATCTAGATCATAAAAATGTTATTATTTAGTTATTGTTGACTTTAAAATAATATATTATTAAAAATTATATATAATATATATATATTTGTACAATAAGATTAATTCTATACAATTTTATTAAAAACCTCAGTTAATATTTTAGAAACTAATATTTTTTTTTTTTAGAAAATAATAGATACCTACTTCCTCAATATTTTTATTTATTTTATTTTGTTTCTCTGTCATCCATAATAATTATCCTAAAATGTATTTCATCTCTTATTTTATTACTTCTTATTTATCTTATTTTCAGTTAACTTTTCTCACTGACAAATTTCTTTGTTTTTTTACATTTAACTTTCACCATTAAACTTTTACTTTCAATACAAAGTTGTGCACATTTTTAATGCTCATGTAACGAATGAAATTTTGAAACTTAAACAAGATATGATAAAAATATGGAAGATTCTGATTAAATTAAAAATTTTTAATTTTATTAACGTAATTATTTGTATTGCAATCCTGATATTTAGCTAAGAAATGTAAGTTAGGAAAGTAAAACTATTTTCATTATTAAGCTGAATTCCGTTTTAATTTAACTTAATGATCTAAATATTCAATTAAGGTTTAATTCGATAATCATTTTGATTAGTGTAAGGTAGTTAACATAATATATCATTCATTTTCACAACCTTAAGACTTACTAATACATATGTGTTAGGGTTATACGAAATTGGGATGAGTCGTCACAAATAGTAATGATTAATATTCATACTAAAATGTAGGATTTTAATTTAAAACTTTCGCAGTAAATTATTACACGAATTAAATGTTGGCTTACAAGTAAATTACACCAAAAAGTATTTTTAATTTTAACATACTAATTTTGATTTTTTTTGTTAAATGTTATACAGCCATAGACTTATTGTTTAATCTTTAAAACATAACATGAACTTTTTTAATTTTAAGATATTGTGGATTTCATTTGAAAGTCGATAGTAATAAATTAATCAAATGTTTTACTTCCTATAGCTGCACTGATTAATATTTTAATAGATATCCGTTTTTGGGTACTTAACCCCATAAACGAATGTCTACTAAAAATTAAAATATCAATCAAATTATTTAGCAATTAATTTTAAATAAGTGTTTAAGACTAATTATTTCTATTACTAAATGTTATATAATCAATTACATTTTTTGTTATCCGCGTATCGCGAATTACTTAGATCTTGAAGTAGCGTATCAAGTTCAGACAGATTGTTGTTTAACGATGAAGTCATTTTTGATGATTTTAACTCATTCTTGGGCTGTGTAGGCTAGAATAATAAAAAGAAAATGTATTAATATAGTTTGCTTGTTGTCATTAATTACATTTTTACACTAATTATAAAAAACATATTATAACAATACAAACATATTATTATCGTTTAATATACTAAATTCCTTAGGTTATGTAATATTAATGTAGTGCCAAATAGCTATTAACATTAAACAAATTTGTAATTACAATACAATGAGTCAAATCCATATATTACAATATTTATTATAATTTATCAGTTAATTACAAATAATTAATAACAAATTCGCACGTTTATTGTGGATTACACTACTACACGTGATGATTGAGTCATTATAAGTTTACCAACTTGTTTAATGTAGCATGTTACTGCGTATTAGTTATAAAGAGACCAGAATAACAATTTTTAATAAAACCAGTGAAGATCACAGTCCCTTAAAAATAATTTAAAAATGGGTACTTTGACTAAAATTTAAAAGACACACAAGACGACAACGTTCATTTTCGTTAATATCGCCATTCGCATTTCAGCCAAATGTCATCATTTTATGTCTGCAAGTTTGCATCGAAGCGTTTTACAAAATTCAAAGATACAAATAGATACACACCGATAATTCTTGCCGGACTGTCGGGTTTGACGTTGACCGTTCAATTTTGTGCGACCGTACGGTAGCATAGTCAGCAGGTGAAACCGGACTACTGGTTACCGCCGGCGAACCGGCCGGAGGAAGACGAGGTTTCAAGCCGTTGATACTGCCATAACCTCCGTGGACGCCACCGTTCGCCTTGTTGCCTTGCTTTATGGTGCTTTGCAAATCAGCCAACAAAGCGTCTACAGAAAAATTACAAAACGATTATTTATACAGCAATGCAAATGTTCGTCGATAATTTGTTACAACATAGTCGAAATCTTTGTTAAACAATGTGATTAATGTGATCATGCAACACGACCGATAGCAGTTCATTATTGCAGTACACAAACTCAGCGTTCCTATTGCGTAGGAGTAGGTACCTCCTATGCACAGAAACGGGTACAATCCTCCGCGCGTTTTGCATTGATTTCGGTGTGTTGTTAATTTACATTAAATTATATATATATAAAAACATTGTATTAAATTGTATTAATTGACCGGAAGTCATCCAAGTATATAGTCACAGGTGGGTTAGGTCTACAGCTGGTAATGTGGGTATGGACTTTTTTTTAGTGCCTACGGCCATGCACGATTACCGTACGCTACACCTATTGACAATATTTATTCGCTGCTGAGTGAATACTATAAACATGTGTAATAACTAATAACAGTGGACTCATAGGCGTGGACTGACAAAGTTTAATCGTTCTACAATTAATAGTTTCATGTGCATGACTATAACGGTGTAACGTTATAAATTGTTCCTTTCAAAAAAAAAAATTAAAACTCATTAGCCAGAGATCTTAATTAAACAAACGTAATACGAAAGTAAAAAAATAAAAAAATCATCATAATTTACCGTGGAATTAGGTCACATTTTTAAGCATAACTTTTCTAGGCAATAGTATAGAGTTTTATAACATATTTCTGTGCAAAAATTAGACGTTAGCTCAATATAATATAGTGGAGCGACCATTATACTATGCTATAGGTATAGGATTTGTCTTGTTAATATTTATGTTAACAAAGCATATTTATATTTTATACGTATTTAATACTATTTTAATTGTTATTATAAGAATAAAAAAAAAATACAAGAAGACATTTTCTAAGAAAATAATTACCCAGTTGTTTTATTTCTTATTTTGTAAATCCGAAACGCTAATATAACTAGAAAAATTCAAATACTATACAATTTTAGCCCCATCCTCTATTTTTGTGTACATACACATAATGTGCACTACTAGTATAAAAAGTTTGTAACAATATGTAGATTCCCCATAAATTTCCCCAGTATTGGTTGTTTAATTTTTAAATAAAAATCGTGATAAAATACAAATTCAAAAATTCAGCTTTGCAACAACGATAAGACACTTCTTTTGTGTAATATTCAATTTTATGTAAAATAGGTCTATACAGATACAGTTTTTACCCTCCACAAAATATGAAACTGAATTAAAAAAAAATATTCATCTATTTTTCCGAAACCGATTTATTTTTACCTAACCGAAACTGACCTTGTATTTTCTTTTGCACATTTCGTTTTTTGAAAAAAAAAAAAACAACTCAGAATTTTCAATTTTTTTTTTTTTTTGCTTACATAAAAATAAATTCTATGTTAATTCTTAGACTAGTTTTGAATTCAATAAAACTAATAAAACAAAAAAAAATATTATTTAAACGTTTCAAACACGCTTTTTTAAAAAAAACAACAAATCCGTGCTTTTCAAATTAAAAAAAAATAACTAATCGTAATAAAGAAAATCTCAAGTGTCGGATTCGGATTCAGCGAAAAAAATATAGATGTATTTTTTTATCGATCTGAAATAGTATTGTACATCGTAAATAATCTATTTTTTCAATAACATTTTTATCATAGATTATGGAGACGAAGAACAGTACTAGTTTGCAAAAAAAGTGTACAGTAGAAAATTGTTTTAAAAAAAATAGGTCTCCTCGTTGGGAGAGACGTTATTACAGAATTTCAGTTTTTATTTCATAGTTTATGATATGCTAAATACTGTTTACTGAATATTAAAAAAAAAAATCAACTAAATGTTATAATTTTGAGAATGTATATTTTATGGAAAAAAATTGAAAGGAAAATGAAACAAAAAAAAAAGCTTACTATCGCCAATAAGTACGTTTAAATTTTAATGGAAATAATTATAAAGATTAAAACCAATTTGAACAATTTTGAATGCTAGTTGTAAGAATATAAACATTTTTTTATTAAGTTTAGATAGAGTGATACGAAATAATCATAACTAAAAACATGATTGCTGACTATTAGAAATAGTTGTAAAATCAACCTAAAAAAAAGTGTAAAAAACTAATAGCCAGCATCTATACAAACAATATTATAATATTTTAGTAACACGAGAATAATAGAAACACAATATAGCACACTGTCGCTGTTTAAACAAGTGTTCTATATTAAATATGTAAATTATGTTTTTCAGAAAAATGGATTTTACTCTCACTGTGTATTGTTTTATAAATGTTTAAATTAGGACTTGGTAAATTTCGTACATGTTACGTTGAATATTAAAACTTAAATTTTATCAGATTAATATGTGTTTTCGAATTACAATAAAACAAATCAAATTGTATACAAACAAAATTATGAATTTAGTTATAAATAAGGCTTAAACCACAATTACACCTACTTTATAATATTAACTAAGTAATTGTATACTTTCTATTGAATAATTCCTAAACTAGAAGTTTTGCATTACACAATCAAATCGAGTTCGTTGGTAAGATTACGATATGAACACATATTACATTCACTTTAGTTTCATGAAACAAAAATATTTAACACGAAATAAGTATAAACCATAATCATAAATATCTATTGTTATCTTATTTTAAAATGCATAATACAGGTGTTTAACTATGACCCAGTGTCCTAAAAGACGATATAATTATGAACAAATTTGTAGTTTTTCCTTTTTAAAAACTTAAATTTTATGTTCTTTCAATATGTCATAAAAATTACTAAATATTTACCTTTTTTAGTATTTTTCAGAACGCTATCATCTTTTGAAACTTAAATAACTTTATTCTATTTTTCAAAAACAAAATTTTTTTTAAAATGTTTTCAAGTATGTTGTGAAAGTCAGAAAATTTGGTAGAGATTAAAAAAAAATATCCAAAATTGAAGTATTGTAATTTATTAGGTACCTAATCTAAATAAATAATTATAATATTTTTAAAACACTATACTATTTATTATAGTTAGTACAATTGTAGACATTTAATACAAAAGTATAATTTTAAGATTTTTGCGCAATAATTTTTGGTTCTTACATAACTAGTTTCTATTGGCATTTGGCTAACAGTAATAGTAAGAACGGTACCTGATATATACTGCAACTGCTTAAATTAATATTATAATAAATACTAAGCAGTACTTACATTTTACCTAAATATACATTAAAATATTACAGAATATATTGGTAATGGTATTATAAGTCCATTATTTAATGGCTACAACAAACTTGTAAATTGTAAATAAATAGACAGACAAATATGAACAAATTTATAATTTAATAAAATATGCAAATCCTCACCTCAAACTGTATAATAACACGTTCAAAGAATAAACAAGGATATACAAAAAGGGAAAAGAATAAATTTTAACTTAGGACTAATAGAATATTTATGAATTTTTATTATCATATTAACTCATTATAAATACCGTTAGAAATTAAATAGGTCATGACTTGCAAATTTAATGATGTATAAAATGATACACACCTATGAACACTTAGTATAAATATTTTTAAATTCTAAAAAAAAAGTTATGCCAATTTTTTTAGCTAAGTAAATGAGACGTAACGAATAAAATTCACCAAAATTTATTTATGCATCAGACAAAATTAAGACGGTCACTAAATACTTATTTAGACTTAAATTACTACTATTTTTAGAAGACATAAAATATTTGTTTTCAAAAAATTAAGTACACGAATTAAAGACATTGAATTTCGGAAAACTAAATTATTATTTATAGTTTACACATTAAAAGAAAATATTATGAAAAAATTAAACAACATTCTATATATAAGAAAACACAAAATTTAGGTGTTTTCTTAAACACTATTTTTACGGTATGGACTTTGAGAGTGTGCCAAAATTGGCCGTGTGAAAAAAACCATTATGCAAGAAAACACATTATTTTAACTGTTATTATCTAAGCCAGAAAAATTTAAAATTACCATTATTTTTTTCATTTTGTCAATTTTAGAAGACTGGTGACATAATTGCTTTCATTTATAATATTTTTATATACTATATATAACCGTGCTCTACTAACACACAATTATTTTACAACACCGATTGCAAATAGCTAAAGCTTAAAAGTAATGTGAAAGTGGTTTATGATGCCGCGAATATTTTAAATAATATAATATGTCGTATAGCTTAGCAGTTGTGCTAAACATTCGATGACATTATAGAAAAAAAACTTATGTTTATCAACCCAAACTCCAATGCATCAAAATAAAACTTATATCAGTAATAGAGACTAGAGTTGATAAGAGATTTGTCAAACCACTAATTTTATTTTACCCGGCGGTATAACTTGCTTAGTTTTTTGAAAACGTGTATTATCACACATATAAAAGTAAATTTACCAATGTAAGTCGACATGTCGTGTTTGGACGGCGCAACTCGTCTGGCAAATTCCACGCCCATGATGATATTTAAAAAAAAAAAAAACTATACGTATTATTATTATACAAATATTTGTAGGTATGTAACGTTCAATGTCATGTGTGTCCAAGGAATCACTTAAGGTTAAAAAGCCCGTGTCATAGGACAGAGTCGGCACTAGGTATGGTATATTTATCACAAGTTGTAGAAACAGACAAATAATGATTGTTATGACACGAAAAACGCACGCAATGTGTGGGTTTTGGTACGCACGAAGACCCGCAAATTATAACCAACAGATTACAAAAATATAAAATAAGAAAGACTGAGGCCCACGTTTATTATATTATACTCAGTCGGAATCCAAGAGCCGCACACAGAAAACTGGCTAATTCATATCGAGGCTAATAGGACCCAGCAGAACGTTTGTTTTTAAAATAGAAATAGAACCAAACACCTTTTTGGATCTAAAAACTTTTTTATGCACATGTAGGCGTGTCGCCCCCTAAGTACACAAATACATACATAAAAACGCCGTCGCTAATGTTATTTGCAGAACTCCTTTCACGCTCGATAATTTGGCAAAAGTTCAACGTTTTTGAAACAAATCATTTGGAAAAGGGTTTTTTTTTTCGTTTTGAGCTTATAGTAACTAAAAATATAAATCATATTTTAGAGTTAGGCGTTAGCAAGCTGTCTATGTCACTGTGTAGTCAATATTTATAGTCCTATTATTAGCCTGACTACACCCAAACACTACGATTGATTGATATGAATATAAATCGATTACCGTTCCACCGTACCCGATTACAACTATTAATTTTATACCGGATATATTATTGTTGTTCGCAGCAATCACAATGCAATTTAAAATAATATGAAGAATCTCATTGAATATGCATGAGATTAGAGAATGTTATGTGCATTGGCGTAGCAAGGAAAGAACTTATGGCAAAGTTTTATACATTTTCCATGAGGTTCAAAACAAATAACTATTTTCAATTGATAATGAAAGTAGCCGTGGAACAAAGCTATTAATTATACCTATGGTAGTTTCAGCAATATTAGGTAAAATGTTTAGAATACTCAGCATAGAAGCTAAAATATAAATGTTTTCTGGGCTATTGGATTTTTTTTTTAAATAAATGCATTTACACTCCTCAAATATAAACATGAATAAATAAATTATTTTATAATGTCAATATTAATTTATTCGTATTCGTTCAAACATAGAATGCATTTAAAACTAAAATTATAATCTTACAATTTTTAGCTTGGAAGCTGAGAAATTACTGGTTGACATAATATTTTTATACGTGTTTTTATAGACGAAATTGTATTAAATATTGTTATAATATTAAGTAATTACGTAATTTTGATTTGAAAAAAAATAAAAGACCACATTTTTTGAAATAGAAAGATATTTTTAGAATTATACATATATTTGAATTCCGGTTTCTAGCCTGTTCAAAGTAGAATGCACACATTCACCGTTCATTAAAAAGAAAAGCAAGTTATTCATCTTTTAAAAAAAAATAATGATATTTAAGGAATGCATTCTCTCTAAACACAGTTTATTAACATTTTAAACTATAATATTTTATCTGAATTGAGAATTCTACATTAGTACGTTTATAAAAGTAAACAGATAATTATATTTTTACGCATTAAAAACATGAACTATATGCACATGTTGTGTACCAGTATCGGAAAAGGGTATATTCGCGTGGAATTACATGAAATTCCCTTTATTCGATAATTAGTTAATAATTCGAGTTTGATAGTCCAAAATTCAAAACGCTATACGTGTTTGAATTTTAAAATGCATTAATAAATTAGTTTATTTTAATATGCAAAGGTATGGTATAACCATACCTTGAAATCAGAATCAGCAAAATGAGCCTTTTTTCCGATACTGGTACACATATATTGTAAAAAGTAATATAATATAGCTGAATGCTGATATAGTTTAAATGGAACCGTTAAACAATCACGAATATAATTAGTATTAGAACCTTGAAATATGTATTTTATTGTCCAATTAGTCATATAGTAAAAAACTTAACACAAATTCTGGTTAATAAAATCGAATATGTTGTAACATCATTATTCGGTAAGAAAACATGCAAACAAACCGTTCATTTTGACTTTTAGATGTATTCTTGTAATCCAAAAAAAGCTCTGCTAAATCGGATACGAAAAAACGGTCATGATAAAAAACGAAATTCAATGAACCAAACAGTTGTTATTCATAAGACTAACTGGTTGTTGAAAAAAAAAAGAATAAGACATCCTGACCAAATCAAGACCATCCTCCTACACAAGTTGTACTATATATGTTTTATACAATGATAATACGATAATATTAAAATACAGGGAGGAGTTCAGTGGGCGTTCAAGGTATTTTGCTAAAGGTGTTGCACTTTTGCCGATGCTAAAGCTAAGATACGTAACATATATAGGAAGTTATAGACACAAGACAAATGGTCCGTGAACGTTTCAGTCTATATTTAAGTGCTCTACATCAAAATTACACTACAATACATGTTTCCGGCCAATAGTTTATAGATATTAATTGTTCGTCCAATATTAAGGATTAAAAATAATAACAAAATAATGTTCCCGTTTTTATGTAGAATAACCGGTTTTAATGAATGCGCATATAATTTACTGTCGTGTTGCATTACAGTTATGATATTATGATTTATGAGTAATGGCGATATTGATTTATAATAATCTACAGATGTGCAAAGCTATACTAAGATAAAATATTTTCTATATGATTACAATAATTTTTACACCGCTAGATATGTACAAAGAAGTTATTAACATAATTTTAACTTGAATACGAATTGATTATGTTAACAATAATACGCTAATTTACTATACTCTAAACCTATTCACTTTTGTTATCCACTATTGGTTTATTAAGTTTCCATTACTATGCTAAAGTATACATTTTTATTTTCCTTACACTTAAAAAAAATGAAATATTTGTTATTGTAAAAGAATTGTTATATTATTATTTAAAAAATGTTTAACAGGGCTTAATAATATGTCTACCGATTATTTTCTAAATATGACCAGGAAAAATAGCATAATATAGTACAACATTAAAATAGTTAAAAAAAATTAAATATTTTTAATCGTTTAAAAAGTGTAACAGTTTAGTGTATGTATTACAACATACAGTAATACATACAGAAATTTTTGTTCACACAAATATTATAGACAGCTTTTAATGAAGATGTAATAATTAATGATTGAAAAATTGAGTGTTTAATATTATCAAAACTCACCCCCTCCCTCTTCAAAAAAAAAAAAAACTCAAAATACACCACTGAGTTAAAATATCCAATTATTACACATAGGGTCTCAGTAGAAATATGCAAAAGAATACCTCCACTGTCTCTTTTTTTAATACCTGGAATAATGATATTTTTTCAATGATATAAGCAATTTAAACTTACATCAGTGATTAATAGTTAATGTGATATGAAGTGCAAGGCTATATATTATCTACACTATACACATAAATTATGTAATCGCATGCTGAGAAATATTCGCGTCACCTTTGTTAACTTTATAAATAATAATAAGATCATATTTCTAAACAATCCATTGCTTTAAAACCAAACAAAAGTTTTGAAATGAAAAATAAATATTGCATGTGTATATTTAACGTTTACGATATAAAATTGCCAAGATGAATGTTTCCACGGAGCGCATTCAACTCGACTACCTCTATTCCACGTTCGGTAATAATGATAAAAATAGAAATTGTGTTGACATTTGTTTCGTACGGGTAGGGAGTTATTCATTTTTCACTTAGGTGAATATTAATATTTAACCACAAGCGCTATTTTTCACATAGGTAAAAAATGTTTAATGACTCAAATTCAAATTGTTTTATCACGTCTGTGGTTATTAATTAAATCTCCTCAAAAGCTATAGAAAATCCCATTTTGTGATAATTTTAGCATGTTTTGTAAGCTTGAATATTTTCCTAAAATGTATTTAAAATAGAGTGTTTTATTATATGTTATTTGCTGGATTTAGCACTGGTCTCCAAATAATGTAGAATTTTGTAGTTTTTTTTTTTTACAAGAGAAAATTAAAGATCAGATCTAAAAAAAGAAAAGGACCGCAAATTTTAAAATTTAGGTTTTAGACCATCGGCATCGATGTTGCAGTTCTTACTAATAGAGAACAGGGGTCACATTTTTTATTTCATCCTAAATCTTAAAATATCTAAATAAGGCCTGACCAGTTGGAATAAATTAAATCAACCATTGGAAATATTATTACAACTATAGCAAGCTATGCTCAAATATTGGTAAAATTGTACACGTTGAAGGATACGTTTAAATCTGATGACAAGTAAAATCATGTGTTTCGTTCTATAATGACCTTCGACAATTTTAAATAATTATGATCCAAAAATGATACAACACGATTTATATTTTATATCCATGGACCATGTGCAATAATTAGTAGTATTATTTATTTAGTACTTTTCTAAAACATCCATGTTTCGTCATAATGACAATGTATTTAACTCAGTTCCTCGTGATTTCGCACATTCAAACAAACTTTCTATTGCATGCAATCAGTTCTGCATTTGATTTTAATAGGTACCATATTTGGAATCTACTTTATATGGGTTGGCCTACTTAAAACGTGCCACAATAGTAGATCCGTCAATGTGTGTATCAAAACAATGATCGCCAAGTACAATAATTTCTATTCAAAATGCATCATAATACTTGAAAATAAAACCATATAAACTTAGTAATTATTAAATAATAATACTGCCACAGTTAACCCAAAAGAACAGTTTTGTATTTTCAATTAAAATACTATGTTAACATAATATAATTTATTATTTAATTAAAAACAACTAGAAGATATAATACAAGGAAACACAAATAATAGCAACCCATGACATTACTTATTAGGGATTTTCGAAAATAAAGTTACAACAACCTAGAGAGAGTTAATGTCTAAGTCGACGAGAACCAACAAAATTAGAATAGATCATAGCAAACTTCAAAAACATTATGCCGCTATTTTGTCTGTGTACAGCAGCTTATGAAGGGTTTTGGCAATAACACTAATACAATTGGCGGTAGCTAGGTGTTTTTTTGGCATGTCGTTACAAATTAATAGCTCATTATTGGCAAATTATCGTCTAGTATAAAACAACAGATTTGGGTGTTATCAAGAAAAATAATTTTCCGTACAGAAAGTTCGTATTTTAAACTAGATTTTTTTTTTATAACAAATTAAATTAATACGAATAATAACAAAATACGATTTCAACTTACAACCCGGTTTGGAACCGTTTTTCCTGGTACACCGGTACGGTTGATATGTGCCGTGATATTGTTGGGGCTGTATCTTTCCATAGATGTTTTTATCCATTTTGTGTTGGAGAATTATCCGCAAAAAACTCAATAAATATTAAACGAAACCCGACGGGAAAAAACGCTAAGAAAAAACACAACAATACCACCGACGGACGACATAGGACTGGTGTTGCGCGTGCTAAGGGTCCTGATTTCCGGGATTTATTTTTATCTAATAGGAGTCATGCCAGATTCACACACAACCCGTGCCTCCTCTAAGCTTTCCATTAAAAAAAAAAATGTATACAATAAACTCAAAAATAAAAGCTAACGCGGCTCTACGGGATCGTGAACGGAATAACACTACGTGTGTCAACAGCCACTGGACAAACTGCTATGGGAGATGCGATAATAAGCAATCCTGAAGGCCAAGCGGCAGTTTCGTCGGCAAATAAAAGTTTAAACCACTAGCATTATGTATACTATATATATGCGTACAAACGTTTTACACACTTGTACAAACGATATGGTTGTTGTTTTTGATAATGATAGTTATAATGATGGCCATGTGGTCAATCCATATAATGCGTTCAAGTATCTGTCATAAATATTTGCTACACTTAAAATTCGTACTTGCATATTAATTAAATACAACATAAATTAATTAACACACAAATCACAACGGTATAATGCGTTTCTAATTAAAACTATTAAATTCTATATCATTTTTAAAACATACCAAGGGCCTGATTTAGACATTTTTAACTTAAAATACTTTTGGGGGCCTCTTCCCATGGAATAAATAAATGCCTCCCAATTTTGTTTCTCTCTATTTACTATTATACAACTACTACTAAAAAGTAGCAACCAGGGGCTGGCTGACAGATCGGGACACTGGAAAATTTTCCAGGCCAAATATTGCAAAGAGTGGACCGCAGCTGTGAGCGGAGTTGGGCGTGAGCTTAGACTAGGAAAAAAGGGGCTGTTGGCCGGGCGTTGGTTTGTTAAGTTACGTTAAATAATATTGTGGGTTACTCAAAATTTGAAAAAACATTAAATAATTTGATATCTCTATTTTTTTTGTATGCCATCACCTGCATCAAATATTCAAATATAGTTGAAATTTGTATTGTTCCTAGCTTAGTAAAGACTACAATTCTCCAATAGTAATACTAATAAAACACTGTATAAAATAATTATTTTAATAAAAATCTAGCTGAGGAAGGCATTGGTCTATTTCAAACGTTTACTCCTTGTTTAATATCTAAAATCTACATATTGATGATGTTTGTTAGTCATTAAGAACAATATTTGATGACCAACATAATATTATCTAACATTGATGACGCATTTAAGTTTATCCTATATTATCCAAAAACTAGTCATTGCTCTTGTGTTTGCTTTTTTAAGTATTTAGAATAACCGTTAAGGATATTATTGCGTTTTGTCGTCCCGTGGTCTGATTGTACCCCATACTCTTTCCAATATTATATTCTGCCCCAGATAAACTGTATAATATAGATGTAATTTTCATTTGAAATTGTGTACTACTGCGGATAAAATCTATACATCACCAAAGTTTTCAGAGGTAAGTTGCTTGAAATATTATTAAATCATATTAATTAAAATAATATTCACTATTGTCATATTATAATTTACAACAGGAGACTTTTTCAAAAACAATAAAAATATCTTCTAGGCTTTTTATAATATAATGCAGCGCCGTGGGCTGGTCTAATGGAGCCAGTCTCTGCTAGAACAGAATTGCGTATAAAACCGAATTTCTTTTAAAGTGCAACTGCTACAAAAATATTTAATTCTTACCATCACAGCTGACCCATAAAAGTACTTACCACATTTCAAATTGCAATCACAATGTTTTTTAAGATTTCAAAGCAACTCCAAAGAACATATTAAAAACCTCTATGGTTTCTTATATTTATTTTCTACTTAGCTTAATTTATATAACTGTTCCTCCTATAAACTCTAGAAATCTTTCAACATTCCAACTCTCCATACATTGTACACTATATACTTAATTTCTCCCCATAAACAGAATTTTAGCCTCATGTAATAACAACAATTTTTATTGTATTATTAAACAATAAAGAAAATTGCAACTTTTTTTTATAAAGAGTGTGTAATTGATGTGAGGCCCCTTTAATGTCAGGGGCCATTGGCCATTTACATGTCAATAATTATTGTTACCTACTAGTAGGGGTTCTTAATTCAGAAAAAATGTTGAACATATTTTATAACATTTTATCTTTAGTATATATCTATTATTATAACAAATTTCATATCTTTTTTGAAACATTACACAATGTGTTTTATACAACTTTAATTGGAAAAATAAAAAAAATATTGGTACTATAGAAAAATAACGCTAGACATGGATACAGCAAGAAAAACCATAAAAAGACAAAGTGTAATGGTTCTCTTGTTGCTTAAATAGGTTATATTTGATTGTTAAATGTTTTCAAATAATAATCCGTTAACATCAGAATCATTTGCCAGATTATGATCATTTATATACATTGATTATAAATAAATTTCAATATATATTTGATTTGTTTATTGTTTGTAAGTTGTATAATGATATTTTATTAGTTACACAAATTATAATGGCCGAAAATAAAATTTCAATTGCTTTTAAATTATTTATATCACAATAACATTTGATAATGATTAATACTAGATAGTTGTATTTTCAGTAAGTTCAATATTGTGAAAGCGTGGTGGGAAAGTTAACGGAAGCAACAGTCAATGTGGGACTACCATATAAATGGTATTTTAAATTTCACCGATCTTACAATCAAATTTTGTAGCAAAATGTTGTTTTAATAGGTTCAGTTGAGACTTAATCTATTACAAACAAGTGTGTTTGAAAAAAAATTAAATTTTAATTAACTACATATTTAAAATGAGTGACAGGTTTCATTGAATTTCTAAATGAAAAAAAAAAAGTTAATAAGAAATAATGTCAATAATATATGATATTTAGCACTAAATAATAATACTATATGCCTTTAGCATTTCTAAAAATTGTTTGTTTTATATACTTAAAAAAAAATTATTACATAATACCGAAAACAAAAAATTAATAAAAAGTCATCATCTTAAAAAGATTTTTTTGAGAATAAAATAAAACATATTGACTGAATAAAGGCCAAGTGCCCTACTTACTTCTCATACTAATTCTACGCCGTTATTTTATTATCATAAAACTATAATATCTTAAACAATAATTCTGGCTGATTCTATTAATTTAGTAGGGATTTTTCTTTGCACATAACAAAATGTATTAATTAATATTTAATATTTTTTAATTGGACAACAATTTAATTGCATACATCTACAATGCCCGTGTACTGAACGGATTTTTTAAAAATAAAATATTAAACACAATTTTGAATCAAATTTTATCGTACAAAATGTACAACATTATTGAGTAATAATATTTGCTAAGACTACCAAGTACCAATTTAATTTTAATTGCTGTAATAACTCAAACAAAGACTTACCTAAATCGTCCATTTTCCGAGGTAACGAAAAATAAATTTGTAACACACTCAACACTAAGATTTGAACAGGATAATGCGTTTTTTTATCATTTAAAAAACGAACGACATTGACAGCAAATTGTTTGAAAAATAAAATTATGAAAAAAATTTAAAAATAATAACAACATAGTCCACAACACTCGCTGCAATGTTTATAATACGGACACGTTATCAAAACGTTATCAGTTTCGCAGAAATGCGGTGTTGCCGTGTCGAACGGTCGTCTCAAAACGCGAGAGACTAAATAACAGCTGACATTTCCATGTTTACCTGTTATCTTAAAAGCACCCACGCACCTTTCGCCAAGCACACACACACACACACAAACAGACGAGCAGTGCTCACAAGTAGCCGCCGCATGCCCCTCCGTCCGTCACAGTCACGCTTTCGTCCCTTTCCCCCTTCGCGGTCCACATTCAACAGGCTATTTTTATACCCGTCTACACATGTACACAACAGTATCATCGTTCAATTTTTTGTTTTTCCACAAGCACATGATGCGGCTTGTCGTATCCGTGCCCGATGGTCGTCCGTCCTACCGTTGAACGCGGTCCCCGTCACTTCTGTCCTTTTTACCCCTACACCTTAGCCATAAGCAACGGCCAAATAAAAAAAACCCGGTAGTAGTAGTAGCCTTTGCAAGACACCGGTGTGCCAGTGCAATGGACACGGACGAATTCATAGCCGCCGACAGTTTCGTCTCTATGGCAAAGGACACGACTTTCAAGTGAGTACCACTACCACCGCAGCTATGGCTGCCTATTATATTGATCAGACCCCTATTGTAATAATTATACTAATTTTAATCATTGTTGCAATGGTCACCATCCCTTTGTGTGCCAATAAAGTAAAAACCGTCGTTCTTGTTTGTTAATCTCGTGCAATCTACAACGATGGATGTTTACAGCGATCCGAATTTCTTTGAAACTACCGTGGAACCGCTGCTGGTGGCAGGTCGCGAAGGTGACCTCTGTGAATGGCTGAAAAAAATCGGTCTTATTGCCAAGGAGCAAAAATGCCCCAACAACGAGTGCCTGACTACTGACAAAATGCAATGGCACCGCGCTCGTGTCGTCGACAAGTACAACTGGGTGTGTTTGGAATGCAAGAAGAAGGTACCGGCTAGACACGCTTCATTCTTCTCGGATTTCAAGTGCGAACTAGGCTATGCGCTTAAAGTAATTGACGGTACGTTACTACTAACAATTATTTTTGAGTCGATAAAAGTAATACAATACTTTTTACCATTCGTATAGGTTGGTGTAGGAATTTACCTCTTAGCGATGTCGGTGGCGAGGGACGTACTAAAGCGAACGTAGCCAAACGAATATATAACGGATGTGTTCAAGTAGCAGAGTGGTACTTAAAAACAAAGGTCGGTGAATTCAAACTCGGCGGAACTGATATCGTAGTTATTGTAGATGTTTTCCCAGGTGGTAATATGAGCCTAAACACACCAACAACTTCACATAATAATAATTTTTCTAAAAGAGTATTGTGTATTGCCGACACTGCACACGTACCAGTTCGAGTTTGGGCTCACCTACTAGAAGGATCTAATAAGGTAAACATTAACGTGGAACATTCTCATTTACCAGTGGTTTTTTTTTAACCCACCCAGCTAAATATTTAATCAAAAATATGGGGTCATGTATACCCAAAAAACCTAACTGGACAGGTTTAAAAATTAAAAATAAGTTTTTGCTATCTTAAAATCTTGCAATCTGAAAAATTTAGTTGCACGAGATAAGCCACATTGGTATGGTTCCAACTTGAAAAATATACCTCATTTAGTAATAAACATATTTCTGTTATAGGAAAACTATAAGATTGTTGAAATGGTTAAAAGTCATGTAATGCCTGGTTCAACCATTGTAACAAATGAAATGCTCTATCCGTTATTACGAAACTTACCTGGAATCGGAGAGGTGATCAGTACAGAAGCGTTAATCAATTTAGACATCAACCATGACCAGAAATCTTTAAAAAATTTAGGTAAAGTTTTGTTTTTTAGTTACACATGTATTATGGTTTAGTTAACTTATAAATTATTATTGTAGAAACAATCTGGGCTACTACTGTGGACGCATGTATTCAATTACAAGACATGTCTACAACACACGCTGAACAACATTTATGTGAGTTGCAGTGGAGACAAATGTACGGTTTCATAGCCTTTCCTTCTATTATTCAACAAATTGTCGAATACACTGCACATCACAACCCATTACGTACGCCTTTACCAAGCATATGGCCTTCTAATTGATAGACACAAGTACAAATTTTAGTTAATATAATTCCCACCGCTTAATTTTTACATAGTTTTTGTAAAGTGTTGCCAATTAATTTTATTATTAAGTTTTATTGGGTCAGAAATTGTATTGTGTTCATTCACAATGTTAATTTGAAAAATGTTTTATAGTTGATTATTTGCATGATTGTATAAATATTAAATAGACTAATATAGTTGACAAATTTTTAAGAAAAAAATAGTCAACAGGAAAAAATAACACATGGCAAAATATGATTGTAGATTTGGTTCAAGGTTTTATTTTATAATTTATAAATCCCACAAATTGTTCTTGGGAGTAAAACAAAATGAGACTCGATTATGTTTACTAGTTTTAAAGGTTAATTCTCCAGCTCTCGGCATCTAGTTTACATGTTTGACTGAAAATAGTAGTGATTTTTATGTTTAAGACGATAATAATTTTTTAGTTATTTTAATTGTTGTTAATCATAGCCTGATTTAGCTTGTTATTCTAACTAAGTACATGAATTCATAATTCATTCTAGTTAGTTCTTTTAGAAAGCTTTTTTTTTTTAAGAAAGTCATAATTAATTTCTTAGTTTTAATTTGAACATTAATTCTTCATTATTTCTTACTAAATTTTAAAAAAAATTTCAATTCCAATTTATTACAAGGAGTATAAGTATAAACTTTGTCCTAATAAGATCTTTTGCTTTTATCGGTATTTAAAAAAAAAAATAATAATATTTTAACACTGCTTATCGTTTATGAATTACTTTTCATTGAAAAGTCAAAAATAGTTTTGTGTATTTAAAATTTGAGCTTCTAATTATTTACTACAAAAATAAAATAATGTGATTTAAAATACACCAAAAAGGTTTAGCGATAACTAATAAATATAGTTACTTTTTTATAAATGTTAAAAAAGTCTCGTATAATTAGTTCATACATTTTTTTTTATGTGTTACCACAGCATTAATTAAATTTAATATTATATATTTTATTTTTTTACGGATATAATTGGATGTCAATATAAAATATACACACACACACATATGTGTGTAAATATATAAACTTGTGTGTGTGTGTATATATTTATACATGTGATAAATACCAGTAATACTTAATCTCACTGCCAATATAAATATTTATCCTTGACCCTTGTGGTAATTGTTATGTAAATCCAAGTAATGAACGAATACTGTCGATGACTGGTTCATAAACCCTATGTAGATAGGATTCTGTTATTTTATTTTTAAAAACTAGGTGCCATTTGCATTAAGTTTACACTAAGGTAGATTGTGTTATGTCAAAGCAATAAATATATACTTATGTCAAAAAAAGTACAGGGTAGGAGTATAGTTAGATCCAAAAAACCGTCAGCTCCCGTAATGATTGTTCTTGAGTTTAGTATTGTGCTCATTATTTCAAAATAAAAGTATATTTGTACGTACTGAATAAGTAATAGATAGATACATATATCAGGATTGTATTACTTTATTTAAAGGGCCTGAGCAGTATACTTATGGTTTATAGTTACTTCATTTTTTTTATAAAAATATTTTACATCACACATTATGTTAGTTATATTATGAATAGTATTTATATAGAAGTAAATCAAATGTTTTGATTTATCATAACTGATTATTTATAATAATTGTTTTATGTTTGTCTATGTAAAACTCGTTTTATCTTTTAAACTCACAATCTAGTGTGATATTAATTATTAACAATAATTAAATAAACACGAAAAGATAATGGTTAGGTAAATTATACAATGTATGATAATCCGAATTTAATTTGTGGTTTATCCGCTAAACATCAAATAAAGTTTAATATATTAGCTATTAAATGTTTTTGTTTGTTGCTAAATTGAATTACTTTTTAATGTATGTCTAAATACAACACATTTTTGCTACTAAATTGTATTTATGACAATAATAAAAGTGCCTTACATTAAATTTTATGAGATTATCGAACTCAAAAGTTCAAAATATTTTAAACTTATTTTGTTTTTAATTATAACGTAACTAATAAACATAACTGTAAGTGCTTTGAATATTTTTCCCTGTTTGCTACACACATTTTATATTGTTCATTATTATTTCATTACTGTGTATCATCTTCTAGATTTAATGTTCAATATTTGCGTTGTGCTGTTATTTATTTCTAATTATAAGTTCTATTTTTTTTTCTTTTAATTATTATATAAATTATATATTTGGAGAATACTATTGTAAAAAAGTTTGTACTTTACTTATCAATGTTTATTAGACTTATCTTATGCCAAAGGATTTAATGTTTATAGTCTTGTAATTTCTCATTATGTTAAACAAACTCAAATCTATAATTTATCTTATTCCTGTGTAAACGATTAAAATAGTTTTCTTTTTGATAGTACAAATGTTGTTTTTGTTACCGTTATTTGTACTTTGTTAAAAATGGAAACAATTCTTATATTTGTACATTATAATATTAATTACAGTAGCTCGTTCCTACTTTTTTTTCATTCTCTTTCTTTTTTCATGTAATGTTAATAATTTAAATTGTAACTTCTACTCTTTAGTTCATTGTATCTTCCATAATTTATTTTTTTTATTTTATGAATTAATTTAGGTTTTTTTTAAAATTATTATTTGCGTTCATTTAAATATTATATTACTAATATTATTTTTGAGACTTAGTATGTTAAGGTTTTAAAAATTGTTATAATTAGTTTATTCAAAACATAGTATAATTTAAAAAACTCAATATCTTCCTGCAATAAGTTTTCTATTTAAGTGACTATCATTTTTATTATATACAATTTTTATGTTACGTACAATTAAAAACTTGACTGTTAAATTTAAAATATGTTTAAGTATTTTAAATATTTTTTAGAACTTAAGTTTATGTGTTTTAAACAGGTTTATAAAATTGTTTTATTAAATAATTTTAGTAACTGCGTAACCTAATTGTATTTTTGGTTGTCTACTATATAAACCTATGATTATTATATATTAAAATTAGCGCTTTAAGCGCTCACGTTTTTAATAGTTACATCATGGCTCACGTGGCGGTATTGGTATCTCTCAATTGTTTAAAACTATTTTGCAAAGATTCTTGTTACTAGAGAATACTTGACAGTCTTGCCGGGCTGATTTCATTCATTTAGATTTGGCGTTTTCTTAAAAAAAAAATACAGTGTTGTAAATGTTGCTTACACATGTGCTCGAAGATCGACGTTTATCAGAATTCTTTTACATAGGAACAAATTACATACATTGATACAAAACAATTTTAACTACACGTTGGGGTCGATTTACTTCTGTTTAGTATGCATAGATAATTTAAAAAAAAAAAACTTAATTGAAAAGTAGCAACAGTAACTTTTAATAATGCTATATTTTTAAAAGTTCTCTTAACAGTTATATTATAAAAGTTATTCACATGTTCTTTTATTCTAAAAAATAACAGAATTATTACTTTATTTTTTTAAATATAAGTTTACTGTTAATACTTCACATATAAGTGTGTGTGTTAGTTTTTTTGATAGAATTAACGCATTTCATTTTATTAACATATTTTTATATTTGTTTTTTAGTCTTTTTTTTCTAAGACTCATAAAAAAATCACAGGATTAAAGTAATTTAAAAAACTAACGTACCAACATAGATGATGTTAAAATCTTTATGCTGACAAAGTTTGGTTTTTGTTCGAACACTGTTGCCCAAATGAGAGCTATTCTCCTGAGACGTTTTAAGGCCACAAAAACAGGTGTACGGTGTCCTAAAGTTTAAAAATTTACATCATCTGACTAGAATCTTGCCTGAACTATTACACGTTACATTAAGACACGGTAATAATATTATGTCATAATCTGAATTTATAACGTTTTAACTGTGGGTTTATAGGAGTATCGCTAAACTGTAAAATATGCAAAACTGGTTATATCGAATTGTCTAAATGATTCATTTTCAACATTTCGTTCTATGAAATTTTCATTTGAACCATATAATTATTATGCATACTAATCTTAGTGTTCTTTACAGCTTCCCAATCTTATGGAAAGTTTGAATAATAATTAATTATTTAATATACCTACAAACCAGTTTTACCAGTGATACCAGATTTTATCAACAAAGATATCGTGTAAATTCTATTTTTAAACCAATATTATACATTTTGTCGCCGACCCTGATTTAGTGAACAAAATAGAGTCGAGTTATTTAATTATGAAATACTTAGGCACTGAAATACATAATAAAAGTACTTGGATTCATTTCTGAATTCTGAATAATTAAAAATAAATTATAAGAATATAGATTGGAAAGGATATTATACATATTCTTTGGAACATGGCCGTATTCACGGGGGGGGGGGTCCGGGTTCAATGATGTAAAAAAAGAAAAATATTTTGATGTAAGTTTTCTTTTAACTTTAAAGCCTAAAATAGAATTACATAATAATAAATACGTGATATTATCGTTATCGCCTGCTTATGGACACGCCAATGAAACAAACCAGACATATTAAAAAATGTTTTTTCAATTATTTTATTTTAAATTTAAATAGTAAGAATTTTACTGAGCAGAGAAACTTAGTACAATTATTTCGTCTGTAGTTAATTCCGGACCCTTACAGCTGTATACAAATCAATTATTATAATATTTAAAATAAATTACTACATGTTTTGCTTACCGGTTACTTCGTATTAAGGATTGTATACTCGTTTCCAAACCACCTATGAGGTAGAGTATTTGGCTCGTTTTTTTTAATGTGGTATCTCCATCTACGATGATGCTCAAATTGTATTTACTGTACAACCACCAGAAATGTGTGGTGGGTCGTTTCAAGTAATTGTGAACTTACGCATAGATGTCGATCCGGGCATAACTTAAGACTAACTTAATGACTAAAATATCCCGGTATCGACAGACTGGGCGGCCACGCAACAGACAATGGTGGACTTACGCATCAAAGTCGATCCGGGCATAACTTATGACTAACTTAATGACTAACTTATGACTAACTTAACGAATAAAATATCCCGGTATCGACAGACTTTGCGTATAAGAGAGTACGAAGGAGGTTATCCAGTAGGATCACGGGATAGATATTGGTAATTTGATTTACAAAAAAATCTTGTTGGTGTACAAAATGCTGTGACTGGACACAAATTTTAAAGTAATTAATTTTTACTGAGCAGAAAATGTGAGAGGTTTATGAACTTTAACGAGAACGATCACAACGCGAAAGTTAGAAGTTACAAACGAAAAAATTGTTAAAGTAGTTTAGTTTAATTATCTGAAATGACAATAGTGCTAAAATGTGTAAATTTACTTAAATAAAAAAATTATAATTGTGCGGTTGTCCAAAATAATTTATAAAGGGAGTATTGAGAGTAAAATAGCATCATCGCACATAGACCTAATCCACACAGTACTTGACTTAGTAGAGGGGAGGGGAGGTAACTCTATTGTTTAGATATTTAGCGTAGGTACCTACTAGGTATCTTTGTTTTTACTTCCAAGTGAGACCAAAATATATTACTCAGAAATGTATTGATTTAGTTAAAAAAATATTTCCAATAATTACACTCCCTTTTTATAAATTCGTCTGAGGAATACATTACTTATACTAAATCAAGCACTAGAAAAAGGTCTAGAATTGACAAACCAGTCATATAAAAAAAAATGTTTTTTCAATTATTTTATTTTGAATTTAATATGTAAGAATTTTACTGAGCAGAGAAACTTAAGTACAATTATTTCGTCTGTAGTTAATTCCGGACCCTTTCAGCTGTATACAATTAAATTATTATTAATATTTAAAATAAATTACTACATGTTTTGCTTACGGGTTACTTCGTATTATTTATACTTTTTAGGAAATTTATGATCGACCACCACGTGTAAATAATTGCACTTGAATCTAAAAAAAAAAAAAAATTAACATAATATTAGTATTATAAATAGCAATGAGAGAGAAGAACATATTGCTGTCTTATGTTAAATAATATAATAACTGTATGTGTTCGAAGTACCTACCATCAAGTCCCCAAGTCTCAACCCCTTTTTGAGTTTTTGGTCGCTTTTGGATTTTTTTTTTTGAAATAGCTTGAAGTTACGTCCAAACTTATGCTAGCACATGACAGTAGTTTAAGTCGTTCGAAAAAGTAATTTTTTTAACGTAAAATATATCTGCAGAACGCTTCGACACAATGCATAATATTGTTCGCTGAAAATATTCAAATCTAAGTATTGACTTTTTAATATACTATCAATATACAATTGCTACGTATTGCTATTCAAACAACAAGCAGAAGTTAACATAGAAACGAATTGTTTTCAGCAGTTAAAAAATCACATAGAGTCAGCAAAGGTTTGCAAATTATGTGTTCAAGGAGATCCTATATTGTATTATATTATATATAATAAAGAATCTCTTTGAACATAAAATTTGCTTTACATTATTAATATTAATTTAGCATAGATTGAATTAATTGACAGAGTAGTTGTGGTTGATAGAAGGGTGTAAATAGTAGCTTGTCCAGTGTGCACATGCGTTTTATTCACACAATTATTTATTATAAAAATAATCTTAATCAAAATAAACTTGATCAGACGAAAGATCTTAATTAATTAAATATTAATGAAAATGGTTTGGAAATATTTTTAAATAATATGATATGTCATTGTTACTTTTTTTGACATTACACTGGTGCAGACGACGCAACGCCTTAATTAGAGAACAAAATTAAATTATGTTTTTAATCTTAAATCATATGTATATTATTTCTATAATTATTAGGATTTAGGAATGTGGTTTTGCATTTTTTTTTAATGCAATTTAAGAAGTATAGTTTAGAGGGACGGATAGTTTTATTAAGGCCTCGATATGATTAGAGATGCCTACTGAAAGATTTTGACGTACTTAAGCATAGCCCTAGACATGAGCCTTCTCTTCTCTCAAATTACCACTCACCGGACTCTATTTTCTAACATGCATCAATTTATTATACACTGTAAAAATAATATAAGGTTTTTTTTCAGATGTTGAGATAATAAGTAAATAGGACTCATTTATATGGAATCCCAAATACTTTATATAACTTATAAGAATTAAAAAAAAAAAGTATTTAACATTTAAATTGTTATGTCAAAAATATTATCAGATTTCAGGAATTATACAGGTCTGTATTATACTTATTAAAGGCGTAATACTAAACCTAACTAAAATTAACATGTTGCTTATAAATTAATAATAATTGTAAATACTACCATTATACAAAAACTCAACACCAGAAAATAAAAATTGAATTTTCATGTAAAATTCACATAGGTATCAATAAATGCCTGTCTATCCAAGGTAACAATTTATCGTCGTAGAAAAATACAAAAAAAATATCAATAGGATCTATATATTACAGATATTAGCATTGATTATAAACATTATAGATGGCCCACCGAGACAAATTTTAGTTCTGTAACCGACACGGTACGGGCGTTAGTGCCTAGTAGTATCATTTTCATTGAAAACGATTGACTATCGCCCGTCCCGTGTTGGCGTACAGAACTAAAATTTGTCTCTGTGGGTTATCTATAATATTTATAAATAATGGTATTAGAATTAAATATATTATAGCACTGCTGAACATTTAAATATTAGAACGGGGAACCTTACTGCGGTTGTGCGACGAGTAAATTATCCACGTAGGTTTACACAATTTTATATTTGACAGCATTTTTAAAATACTAAAATTAGTTAGCTTTATGGAATAAGTAAATAAAACTGTAGTCACGAATTTTTTTTTTAAACTTTTAAAACTTTCAACCCCCCCCCCCCCCCAAATACCAACTAGATGAAATTTGTGATTTATATAGTTGCTTACTCGAAGGAATTGGTCCAGTATTAAAAAAGAGTATACAGACAAAAAAAAAAAGCTACAACATTGTAAAACCAATAGCATCTCTGCTCCACATCGAAGCTAAAATAAAGTACATATTAAAATATAAATAGTTTAAAAGTATTTAAAAATAAAAATAATTATATATTAAACCGTGATGGTATGTGGTAACTGGTCTGAACTCTGAGTACTATGAACATAACGTAACTTTATGGCAGAGAACAATATTCCTATTTATTATCTATGGCCTTATCACATCATAAAACGAGTTGTCAACAGTTATCGCTTTCAATATTTTAATTTATAATTTAAAATATTATGTTTATTAATATTTATTGTTTTAAACTTTTTTTTTTTCCTTATTTTCATCATTTAGTAATAAATAATAAACGATCTGGTACGTTAATACAAGATATAATAATAGTTGGTTATTTTATTTTTTACAACACTTATAAAAATATTATGTGTAATTATTTAACCAGATTTATTTTTATTATGTCATTTTAAACTAAAATGCTTGTAATTAACATAATTTAGTTACTCACTCTATTTATGAAATTGAGTCGACTTTATAAAAAATGAAATCTTCCTGTACAATTATTGTCCGTCATATGCCACCGGAAATTACGGACGAGCACAAAGTTGATTTCCTACAACACTTTGGTGCCCAGCACGTCAAGTTATTAACATCTAAAGCACATAAAAGATGCATTGCATATGCCAGGTATTTTTTGTATTTTATATGTCTTTTATAACAGTTAATCAATAACTATATAATGATGTACTAATATATCTTAAAAACACATAATTGTAATTTGATCAGTATTAATATTATTTAGATTCGAGTCGGAAGATATAGCAGAGGCTGTGATTCAACGATTGCATCAAAGAGAGTTGTTCGGTCGGAGGTTGACTGTGGAAATGTCTCCCACGGATCTTGACGTCAATCTCATGGTATGTCCTAAGCCGCCGCCACAGATCGAATGCAACAATGATGATGTTAAAAAATTGCAAGAAGCCTATGTAAAAAAATTAAACAGTTGGACCACGGGACTAAACTTTGATTTACCGCCACCACATCACCTGCGTTACTGTTATCCCAGTCCTAATCCTCATATATTGTCAAATATAGCTCACGCATTGACTATTAACAACAAATTTTACTACCAAGTACTTCATTTGATGAACCGCATGAACTTGCCGGCGCCTTTTGACCAGGTGGAAGGCCAAAAACCATATGTTTTTCAGAAAAGTGAAACTGTGGATTGTTATACGACCATGTATGAGACCGACCCTGAATTATCCGAATCCGAAATGGAAAGTGAAGAAGACGAAGCGGATATAAAAGATAAAGCTGTAGTTAAACCGTTGGAATTAAAAAGGCCAAAGTCTAAGGGGTTAAAACCAAAACGGCTAAAGGTTGCTACTGGTTCAGTTCCAAAAAAAAGTAAAATTGAGGTGTCTCAAGTTTTTGATACAGTTGAGCGGGAATCGCATAAAAAAATTGAACTTAAGGTTTCCTCGGAGTTAAAACCAGTGGAGGGGCCACCAGCCGATACCGAAGGAGGGTTTGGAGTGATATATTCAACAAAACCTCTAGAAGTTCAAGAAGACAATACTGAAAATCCATCCGACGATGATGCAATCACTGGCGATTGCATAAGCATAGAAGAATTGACTGCAAATAGATTATCAAACAAAGACTTGAAAAATTTACCTGTTTACAAGAATTACCACCCCGGGGCTCCATCTTGCAGATTATACGTGAAGAATCTAGCCAAAACTGTTACAACCGAAGACTTGAAATTCATTTATAAACGATTTATTACCTCCGAAGAACTTCAACCAGGAACAATGTGAGTTTTTTTAAAATTTATATTTAGGTTTTAATGTTGTAAAACAACTGTTTAGATTTGGTTTTGTAGGTTTGATGTACGGTTAATGCAAGAAGGGCGGATGAAAGGTCAAGCGTTCATAACAATGCCTCAAGTGAAAAATGCTAGTCAAGCCCTGGACGAAACAAATGGTTATATTTTAAAGGACAAGCCAATGGTAGTACAGTTTGCTAGGTCGGCGACAGCAAAATGACGTAGTTTAATTAATAATAATTGTAAACATGTACAAATAATTAAAAATAAAATTGAATTTTTACAGTTTAAAGTCTATACACTTTTGTTATGATAGTATAAAAATAACACAATTTCAGTTCCTCCTTCTCCTCACTCTGGAAATTCTCCATGCGTTGGGTTCTTCATATTTGTTGTAGAGCGGCTCAAGTCGTTGATTCTTTTTGAATTTGCTCAACTTTGTAGGGTCAGAAAATTTGAAAAAGGCCGGCGCAAATTCAACTAACCATCTTGGGTCGATCGTGGTCACTTCACGCATGTATTCTTTGGTTGTTTGAACCAACTCATGGTACATGACCCTGGAAAGAAACGTTCCAAAATTACATATATGAAATATGTAAACGATAAAAAATAAATCACCAACAGTGAACACAAACCATTCGGGTTGTCTATTGAACAAAGCACTGCTTGGATGAATGTACACGGCCTGTCCATCGACTAGGGTGCGATAACCTTCTTGGGGGTCTTTTTTAGAAGCATTACGAAAGAATCCTGAACAAATAGCTTTTTGAATTCGAGCTGTGTTCTTTCCGGCCGAAACCACGTCCAGTTTATGCCTGTAAACAACAGAGTTAAATGATTAGAGGCACATTTAATTATAAATCTATTAACTTATGTCTCACCTGTCCATGATACCAAGCAACTGTTTGCGAACGTCTTGTGCTCGTTTCAACGTACGAATTTGAACAAAGTTTTCATAACACCAAGCGTTGCTGAATTTATTGTTCTTCCACGAATTGTACACAGCTAACAACGTTAAATGGTCACCTTCGATTTGATTGAATTTGGCTTTTTTTTGATCGGCCAACGCTTGTTTGTCTTTTGGCCTGTAGAAAACATTTTGCACGGATAACATAGACACAATGGTTAATATTTCTTCGGAACACTGAAGATGGACCGACATGATTAACATTTTCGATAAATTCGGTTCCAACGGAAATTCAGCCATCTACATAAAAAAAAAAAAAAATGACATTCAAATATTATCAACAAAGTATGATTTCGGCTGATTGTACAAAATCGAATGTGGAATAAACAAACATACACGTCGTCCAAGTCTGGTCAGCAGTCCTTCATCGTCCAGAGCGCTCAACGAATGTAACGATTCCAAAGCCATGATTAAACTTTCTACGGGTGGCGCGTCCATGAAATCGAAATGGAGTAAATCGTTAATGCCCATCGTTTTGAGTTGTAACACCTATTTGGCAATATTGAGAGATTACCATTGTGTACACTTAAATGCGGTGCAGTTAATACGTACTGTAGTGGCTAAGTTGGTACGCTGTATTTCTGGCACAGGAGTGGGTAACATTTCATCTCGGTAAGCTCTTTCTGTGTAAAGCCTATAACATTTACCAGGGCCCGTTCGACCGGCACGTCCAGCTCTTTGTTTGGCTTGGGCCTAGACAATATAATTCAGTTACATTATATTTTATGGCTATCATATAGATTAAAAAAAAAAAAAAAATTATACCTGTGAAATGGGTGTTACGACCAAAGAGTCCATTCCAGTTTTTGAGTTGTACACTTTTTGCTTTACGAATCCTGGGTCGACAACATAGTAAATACCATCGATTGTCAACGAAGTCTCAGCAATGTTGGTAGCGATTACCACCTTTAAGTAAGATTTTATTTTTATTAGTAAAATTTGATGTCTTTTACCAAAAACTAGCACGTTTCACCTAGCCATGAAATATTTTACAATTATTACAAAATTAGTTTTCTTTGCAAGTAATGAAACGTTATAATATTTGCACAAGTCATTTTATAAATATTTTTATTATTCATGGCAAACTGAAACATGCTGTTAATTGCAAGATAAATGAAATGTGCTAATTCTTAGGAATCAAAATGCGAAAAATTGTCTGGCAAACATTATAAATAAAAGGTTATTTCAAAAGATTATCATATCTATTTAGAAAAAACAAAAAAAAAGATAATAGTTTAATTTTATTAGGCTAATAAAAGTGATTGCCAAAACGGATGGATTTCATTTAGTATTAAGTGATATCTTAATTTGTCTTACGGTTTTTTTTTTTAATTTACACATACTTGACCTAGATTTTTTCTTAGGAAATTTTTACCCCCTTTTAGTATTTGTTCGGGACTTATTGTCGACTAAAGTAATCATATTAATACTTTTCTGGATCCAGGAGGAGCGGCTTCGAAGATTCTTGTTTGCATTTCACTAGGCAATGCTGAATAAACTGGTAAAATGATCAACTCAGGAATATCGGGACCTAACGATTTCATTCTCTCGTATAATATTTCACAAGCGGTGTCAATTTCTTCTTGACCAGTTAAGAAAAGCAATATATCGCCAGGCGGTTCACGCAAATGTATTTGCATGACGGTGATCAGCGATGCATCTAAGTAATCAGTCTCGGGCTCTTTGGTGTACAGCACTTCCACGGGAAAAGTACGTCCGGGAATGGTGAATATAGGAGCTTCAAAGAAATACTGTGAAAACTTGACAGCGTCCAAGGTGGCCGAAGTGACAATGAGTTTTAGCTCTTTTCGTTTAGTCACCGCTTGTTTTAGAAGGCCGAAAAGAACGTCTGTGTGAATGGTCCTCTCGTGAGCTTCGTCCAACATCACGACAGAGTAGTTTTTTAAATCAAAATCAACCAAACATTCTCGCAACAACATACCGTCCGTCATGTATCTAAAAATCAACGCCGAAGCATTATCAAATAAAATCTGCGAAGTATAACAAAATATTAACATACTTGATGACCGTTTCTGGGCTTGTACAATCTTCGAAACGAATGGTGTAACCGACTTCTTGCCCCAATCGGCAACCAAATTCTTCTGCTACTCTTTTTGCCACTGACATAGCAGCAACTCTCCTGGGTTGAGTGCATCCAATCTTTCCTCTAGACGTAAATCCAGCTTCAGCTAAATACTGAGTGATTTGAGTGGTTTTTCCCGATCCTGTTTCTCCAATGACAATCAAAATTTGATTGTCCGTTACCGCCTGGAAAAAAGATACGGAATATAAAAAATTAACATTGTTGTAAGCAAACAATTTCAAAGAAACGAGTCTTCGAGTGAATAGTTCTCATTTTTGAGAAATAATTCTTGGAACAAATTGTAACCAAAAAAATATTTTACTATTTTTAAGAAAACTCGAATTTTGAAAAATCATTTTCGGACCATAACTAGATTAGATTCATAAGTATTATAAACTTTGTTAATTATAATACATTTTTTTTTTTTAAGGATTTGGGAAAGGAACGAGTTTTTTAATTTTTTTAAAACTTTTACGCTATTGTTAGATAGACAAATATTTACCTTGATAAGTTCATCTTTGAGTTTGTAAATGGGTAAACTCTGTCGTTGTTCTAAAAGACTCAAATTAGTCTTCATACCAAAAGAACTTTTCTTCCCTCCTATAACGTGTTTCTTCCATTCCGGAACATCTTGGGCAGTCAACCCTATTCCTCGCATGTTTGCAGCCAACTGTCGGCTATCGTCTTTATGGTAAAAAATAATTATTTCAAATATATATAAATATACACATTAGATTGTAATATTTAGTAGGATATTGTATAACATACTATCAGGAAGAGGATCGATCCAATTTTTGGTGACATTTTTAGGAACAGAATCAATTTCTTGTTCGCGTTGAATCATTTTTTGTTCACGCCGTTCTTTAGACAATGCGCTTTGCATCATAGCAGCTTGTGCAAGAGAACCGTCAGGATTTTTAACAATACGAACCTAAAACATTTTAACAAAATACAATTTTTTTTTTGCCTTAACAAAAAATATTATCTTGATTTATACTAACAGGACTGAGATCGTGAAGGTTTCTGCCGTGTCCATGTAAAAACGGCGGTTCATCTTCGACAATTTCAATTTCAATATCTTGTTCTTCTTCTGTGTTGTCTTTGGGTAAAATACCTGTTTCCTCGTCGAAATCGGGCAATTCACTTTTGTCGATGCAATTAGCGGACAGCATCTGTTAACAGAATTACACGTTTAAAATACATAGTTTTATTGACCCACACGAATAAACAAAATACAATTTTAAGTTACTTGTTTGATTTCCCAACGTTCCGGTGACGATATTTTATTTACACGTTTCAAATTTGCCGTCTCATCCCCATCGGCAACTGTTTGTAACTCTAACAATGAAGTAGGCCGGTCAGGATTACGGCCACCCATCATATCTTCATCATCACTACAAATATTATAAATACAATATATAATACGGTAGAAATGTATAACATTATTTAACAAATATTTATGAAATTAATATCATACTTGTCTCCTGGACCAACCATAGGGTTTAGGTCTTCCCCAGTTTCTTGATCGACGTCTTTCATCGACAAGGAGATTTTTTGATTGCCGCTAATAGATATGACTTTTACCTAAGAAATGGATAAAGTCATTTTGCTTGTCTTTTAAGTGAGATAGTTAAATTAAATGACAACTTACCATGACTTTATCGCCTCTAGAAACAACGTCGCTAACAGTGTTCACTCTACCTTTCTGACGTAACTGAGATATATGCACTAGTCCCTGACTTTGTCGGAAAGCATCCAGTTGTACAAAACAGCCAAATTCGACTATGTTCAACACCTTGCCGGCATATACTCGACCCAATTCGGGGAATTTACTTTTTGGTTCATTTCTACGTATAATTAAATATTTTTATATTAATTTAATTTGTATTTTTTTTTTAATAAATCAAAAAAAACATACGTTTTGTCATTTTTGTCTCTTTTGTAATTGTCTCGGCTTCTGCTCCTTCTAGAACTCCGGTGATCACTTTTGTCACGTCTATCTCGGTTTCTGTGACGATCACTGCTTCGATTTCTATGTCTGTCTCTGCTTCTGTTTCTTGAGCGATCCTGGCTTTTACCTCTGTGATGTCTATCGCGACTTCTGTCCCTATGCCTGTCGTGACTTTTGTCCCTGTGCCTGTCGCGACTTCTGTCTCTGTGTCTGTCGCGGCTTTTGTCTCTAAGCCTGTCACGGCTTCTTTCTCTTTGATGATTATCGCGACTATTACTCCTGTGCCTAGGGCTGCGTCGTTTGTATTTTCGATCATGACTTTTCGATCGGCTTCTTGACATGTGTCTACTCTCTGATGGTTTTTCACTATCACCAGATTCCTTTTCACTATTATAAATGCAATAAAATATTAATAAAATAATAAGATTAATTTATTTTTAATTTGCAACATACTTGAACGTAGGAGCGAGAGCTTCTAATTCAGCCATAGCTCCACTGACCGGGTCGTCGGTTTTACTGCTAATGTCATTTGGAATAGCTAAGCCAGGAAACTTACAAGCCAATGTATCGGTTTTTTCTATATCGTTATTCATGCTGTTCCCAGATTGTTTAGACATTCTTGGTTGCATGTGTTGTATAATACGCAATAAATTGGCTATGAACGAGTCCTGAACGACAAACGAATACAACCACAAAATATAGTATCTATCTTATTTTTATAAAAAAAAAACTATGGCCATCAACTACGTAAGATACAATACTAACCGAAAACTCAGCTCCATTTTTAAGCAGAGCTTTTTTGAAAGAGTCTAAAGTGTCATTATTGTAGGCCAAATCGATGATGAATTCGGCTGTTGTTTGACAAACAATAAAATTTACATTAAATTTAATTAAAATACGTTTCTAATCGTTTTATAACAATATTATCTTACCCAAGTCCTTGTCATTTAAACCTAAATGGTTTTCTAATTCTGTACATATTTTCGATACCAACGACAAGTGTTCTAATTTCTGTAGTTCGTCCATTGCAAACAAAGTATTAAATAAATTTTACAAAATAATTGCTCAAAAAAACATTATTCAAAAGTTACAAAAAAAGTGTGTTAACTGAACATCTGAACTATAGCAGTTAAGCGCAAGTCAAACTGACAACAGTTATGAGTTATCATCACAACAAGGACTCAAGTGATAAGGAAAACAGTTTGGCCAACACAGTTGTGATAATTGCGCGGTTGTGTTGCCGTGTTGCTTATCAATTATCATTGCAAGTTGCAACGAAAGACTACCAAAGAAGCAAAAAAGCTATACGATTTTCTGTCAATATTATTTATGCATACATAATATAATATATTTTATTATTTTAAACCATTATTTTTGTTTTAAAATCACCGAGTTTATCGATACGTTTTAATGTAGTTAATCATATTTTTGAAAAAGTATAAGTGTCACGTTTAAGATTAAATATTCTTTTTGTTATCGACCGCTAGTGCAATTTTGAAAAAAAATAATTTATCACTGTTGAAAATACTACCTATGGTAAGAAATTAAAATCGCCATAGAACAACCAGTGAGTTTTGTTTTATTATTTGACATTTAAAAATAATTTTGAATTGGCCGTAGATGCAATCGCTTCACGTTACGTTTATGAGTTTGGCCGATTCTGTAACACATAAACTTAACCTGTTAGAGCATCAATATTATTATTATTACAAGGTACTCCAAAACTCGACTTGTATAATTTTTAAAACGTCCATTTAAGCTACAAAGTGTAAATTGTCTATCGATTGTATTCACTTATGAGAAACAACTGTTTTAGTATTAAAATTTTTCGTTAATGACAAATAATCATTTGAATTTCCAATCATATAATATTATAATATTTAGTGTATTGATTTTGTTAAATAATAGTTGTCTAATATGTCTTATAATACATAGTAGCTGTATATTAATATTAAACAATTTTGGTACGTCGAGATTTTTACATGGGAGTAAAAATATAAAAAATATTATTAATAAATATTGCGAAACATTTGCAATATTTAGTTTTCCTGATTTGTTTACATTACTGCAGCTGGATTTGCTCTTAACACATTTCATTGACCCTTAATGAATATAGTTTAATATTGTACTTTATAGATAACCTTGTTATCTGTAAACATTTTATAAATGATTAACAACTTTTTCTTTTTATCGTTATGCCATTATTTTTGAACACATTGATTTTATTACCTATTTTCTGATATAGGTAACTTACCTTGACCTATATAATATTAATCAATAACTGTTAATATATTTTTTTTTCATATTTCTATAATAAATAAGATCCACTCATTCCTTTTTTAATTTTCTTCAAATACCAATGATAATTTTTTAATATAAACTACATATTAAAATCTTAAAGTAGAGTTACTATTAATTAGTATGAATCATCATTTTAGATAATGGCGGTATACAAAATGTATTTTGTTGATACCAATTAACAGTGGGCCTTTTTTTTTTTGAAGTACTGTATTGACTAATAATAAAAGAAGTTAATGTGTATTAGTTGCTTCAGTCTTAATTAATTGCTTGCAGTTTTAATTATATGATAGTAATTGTCATAGATGTATGATAGCTGTATGATATATATATCATAGCTGTATGATTAGGTAGGTACTGTTTATAAACAATAAAAAAAGTCACAAAATAATCATCATTGTGTAATAAAAAATAGTGCCAATTTTATAATTTAGCAACAATTCTTTTAAACTAAATTTTACATTACTCATAGGGAAGTTTTTTTATTTTAATTTAACGAAACTAAATTGATTTTTTTTCCGAATTTTCACCTGCCAATTACTTTAGCTTGGACGACATTAAAGCTCTTGTAGATTAAAATATTATCTATGTTCTTTGCAAACATATCCACGAGTAGGTTCTTAGTGGCTGAGCCGTAACTATATGCTCTGACGAGAGGCTATGTAATGGGTCTGAAATGCCACCATAAGACTCGTCCTGCGGATATATTTACGAAAAATTTAAATGTACTTATATGGAATACTTGCTAATATGTTTTCTGTTCACTTATTCCAATTTTCAGCTTCAGGTTAGTAATATTTTTTTTTATAGAATTGTTCATTCTATATTACATCATAAATGGTTTTTAAATTGAGAATAATGTACTAAAAATGTTTACTGGTCGATAACCAGTTTTGGATAACTATTTTTGAAGCTATAAGAGTTTAAAAGTTAAGATGGGAAGGAAAGTTTCAAATTCAGGACAGGAGGAATGGTGGAGTGTAGAATTATTTTTATCTGCGCGCATTTCACTGTTGGGAAGGGGTAAAAATAAAAAATAAATTGTGAGAAATTAAGATGACATTGCATAAATATGTTATGGAAAAAAAAATTAAATTATTAATTAAACGCACTGAGATATTGAGTGATTCACGATAAGTTGATCACCCTGTATATCCAAAATACATGATAAAAATAAGTAAAAACCAACAAATGAGAATTATGTGTTAAAAAAGGACTTAATCATGTTTTTCGGATTTTCTAAATAGTTTTATTACACATTTTTCAAAACAATTGAAAAAATTTCAACCCCTGAAGGGTTTGTGATTTTATTTTTTTTTGGTTTCCCCTGTATATCGGTAAAATGTAATTGAGTGCCGTTATTTGAAATAAAAATATGTGTACGTTTTTAGGATGTTTAACTCGATTTTCAAGGGAAGGATTTAACTTTTCTTAATTTTGTTGGCTTATAAAGTACCCTTAGGGTATTTATGATCTCTTAGTTGTGATGTCGATCATTGGCACTATATGGCGTAGGCGATGATATTTTTGTACGGGGTTTTATTGGCGTGGGTTTTTTTTCGCGCGGAGGTGTCGCCCTATCCGGATAGAAAGAAAAATAATAATTATAAAAAAAAACATAGGCAGGTCGTGTTTTACAGTAATAATAAAAAACAACAGCCTTCTCCTACCGCTATAGTAGTGGCCGCCTTGAACAGAATCGCGGATTTCCTTCTTGGTAGTCGACAAGAACTTAATTACAATAAAATAATCGTACACAATGTAAGTTTTTCATCCTGAATTTTGCTGAATTTGTTCACCCCATTTGGGTTTTTGTCAAGTAGCATATTTTATCGTAGATTAAAACAGCGTGAACTCGAAACCGTTGTACAACAAAATTAATTATTTTCATGGGTTATATTATATTAAAGCATTATGATAGGTTTCCAAGACTTATCCGGCTCGAGTTTTCATCGTGCTGTTCAACTCAAATTTGTTCGAAGTTAATATAATATATGTTAGTAAGTTTAGTGTTCAGAGCGTCAAAAAATTAAAATGTTTAAATATGGAACACTACTTTTACTTCGTACAGGTCGAATCTAGGGATGAAAATATTGATCCAAAATAAATTATATTATAAAAAAAATAAACATACAAATACAGTTTTAATACATTCAATTCAAATACAGAGAGGGGCTTCAACCCTTCACCTTGTGTCCGTCCCTGGCCTCGTATATGTTGTTATGATCATTAGCACACCTTCTTTCTCCTATCTGCTCCCCCTCTCACCGTTTAGACTATACCGGGGAACTCGCGACCCTTAACGGACCAAAGGCATTACTTACTCGTCTACATGACACAATAACAATATCGTCACAGCAGTTTCATGCATCAAGTATGTGTGTACATGTTGTTGATGATTTTATTTTTTTTCATGCATAGCATAAGTTCTCGGCAGCAAAACTGTCGGGCTAAAAATATACACGGTGTACTCCCCCGCCTATCGTAGCCATGTAACCGCCATTGCTGTTCCGGAGCTTTTTTGTGTCGTACGAAAACAAATGACTCACTTTATGTTTGGCTCGGGCTCATATGGTATATCTTCTTATTTTATTATTTCGGTTTAACTGGAACGCCTTGTACACAAAACGAGCTGAAGCGACGGCACGCTCTGCTCGTTGACCGCCTTTATGTTCACAGCCAAAGATCCGGATGGAAGTCCAGTTTCCTAGGAAACCGTCTTAAATTATATTACTGTCGGTGGTATTTCTCGATTTTTAATCGCGTTATATTGAAGTCAATAAATAACGTACAATTGGATAAGGTCTAAAAAAACGGGCGCGATGCCAGGTTATAAAAAAATATCTACCTCTATTCAAAAACAATCATACTGCAGTGTTCAGAGTGATCATTTTAACGCAAGACACTAATTTTCTTTGAAAACAATTACAATCTTATAGTTTTTTTTATTGGATACATTTTACTTTAAGATGTTTGTTGATACAATAGGTACAAACAAATATTTCAATTTTAATCGTTTTTTTTTTTTTGTTAAATTCCAGAGCTTTATCAACTTTTGTAGCTTAAATAGAAATATTCACATTCCTAATATCTTATACTACTACCTACTACTGTACTAAAAATGTCTACCATCTTTTACTTGAAGAAAAGACGGGTAGATCATGATCATATTTGAATTTCAGCTATGGAGAGCTGTTTTCTGTCTCTTACCAACCATCTCTAATCGACTGATTTGGTTAATTAATAATATCCGTAAAGTAATTTAGGAATTCCCTTGTCACTCCCTTGCCTTTCCTTCCTTTATAAAATGAAACTTATTGACAAAAAGAAATTGGAAAAAATTAGGTTTTGTCAAGTTCATAATTTTTTTTATGAAAGATTTTAAATTTCAAAAATGATATTCCTTGCCCAACAAGTTCTGAAGAGATTTCAATGTATTCAATGTTATTCGACATTGTTCATAAGGTCAGGAAATACGTTTAGGTACATTACAATTCATACCCGCCAAATAATAATATTTGGTTTACTAAACAAAAATATTGGCAACTCTTAACTGAATAAATAGTAATTCATTTTCCATACAATTTGGAAACAAATGTAATAAATAACACAAAATATAATTTAAGTATAACTACTTATAAACATTTTGTCACCAAAACCAAAATATATTGATTTTCTTTAAAAATGTTTACTTAATCGGAATTTCGTATTGGGCTTTTTGCAACAAGTCCATTTTGAATATTAACCTTTAACTGCATAATGTATCTTTTTCAGCGAATTTTTTTTATTAAAAAATATAGTAGATTTTTTTCGTAAATAAACATTTTTAATGTTAGGGAGAA